ACCATAAGTAGGTTGAAAGTAAAAGGTGGAAAAAGATATATCCTGTTAATGTTAATTTTTTTAAGTGGCTATATTAATATCAGATAAAATAGACTTCAGCGCAAAGAATAAAGAATCAGTGCGTCAAGAAGACAGAGCAGTTCTGAATGTATATGCACCAAAAGCAGAGCTGCAAAATATGGGAAACAAATTGGTAAAGCTGAAAGGAGAAACAGATCTATAATTATGGTTCAGGAGTTCTCCATCCCACTCCAAGCAATTGATCAAGCTATTGGACAGAATATTAGCAAAGATAAAGAATAACTTAATAATAATAGCATCCAGTTGACATTTACAGAAATTCCACCCAAAAACAGCAGAATGAAAGCTCCCATGGAACATTTGCCAAGTCATAACATTTGCTGAGTCAAAAATGAATTTCAGTATACCTAAAAGATTAAAATCAGGGGCGCCTGGGTGGCTCAGTCAGTTAAGCATCTGTCTTTGGCTCAGGTCATGATCTTGGGGTTCTGGACAAGGAGTCTGCTTCTCCCTCTCTCTCCATCCCTCCCCCAGCTTGTGCTCTCTCTCTCTCTAAAATAAATAAAATCTTCAAAAATTAATTAATTAGTTAATTTTAAAAGATTAAAATCATACAGAGTATGTTACCTGGCCATATGGAATCAAATTAGAAACCAGTAGTAGAAAGACTACAGGAAAATCTCTGATCATTTGGAAATTAAGAGTACACTTCTTAATAATCCATGGGTCAGAGAGGAAATTATCACAGGAAAATTTAAAAATAAAATGAGGGGGTCTGGCTGGCTCAGTTGGTGGAGTGTGTAACTTTTGATCTCAGGGTTGTAAATTCAAGCATCATGTTGGGTGTGGAGAATACTTAATTATTTTAAAATCTTTAAAAAAAATGAACTTCATGATCACAGGGAGCTGATGGAAGTGTTGAATTACTGTATTGTACACCTACAAATAGTATTACACTGTATGTTAACTAACTGGAATTACAATCAAAACAAAGTAAATTTAAAATGAACTGAATAAAAACGAAAGTACAACATCAAAATTTGTAGAATGTGGCCATAGCAGTGCTGAGAGGGGAACTTATGGCCCCAGGTGCTTAGAAAAGAGAAAAGATCTCAAATCAGTAGTCTAAGTTGCTACCTCAAGAAACTAGAAAAAGAACAAAATAAATCTGAAGCAAGCAGCCATCAGTGCAGTTGTAGACAAGAAAATAACAAAGGAAATGTATTAAATTAAAAGCTGGTTCTTAAAAAACACCGATACAGCTGGTAAACCTGGAACAAAATTGACAAAGCTAAAAAGAGCAAGACACAAACCACTAACAACAGGAATAGATAGGGATATTACTACAGCTATTCAAAGGATAAAAGTGAACACTAGGAGCACCTTTACACCCCCAGATTCAATAACTTAAATTTCTTGAAAAGCACAGATTACCAAAACTCAACCAAGGTAAAATAGATAACCTGAGTAATCATTAATAAAATTCGATTTTTTATTTAAAAATTTCCTGAGGGATTCCCTGTAAGGGTTTACCTTACATTTAAAGAATAATTAACACCAATTTTACACATTCTCTTCCAGAACATATAAGAGGCAGGAATACTTCTGAGTCATATTATGAGGTCTGTATAAAACCAGACAAAGACAGTACAGACTATTGTCTCCCATGAACTGAGATACCAAATATTAACATCATACCCAGCAATATATAAAAATTGCAAACAACAGCCCAGTAGAGTTTATTCCAGATATGTATGGCTGGCTCAGTCATCAAAAACCAAATCAATGTAGGGGCGCCTGAGTGGCTAAGTCAGTTAAGTGTCTGCCTTCAGCTTCGGTCATGATCCCAGAGCTCTGGGATCAATCCCCACTTTGGGCTCGCTGCTCTGTGGGGAGCCTGCTTCTCCCTTTCCCACTCTCCCTGCTTGTGCTCTGTCTCTCTCTCACTCTCTCTGTCAAATAAATAAGTAAAATCTTAAAAAAACAAAACAAATCAATGTAAATCCGTATCAGCAGTCTAAAATTTCATAAGCATAGAAATGCATTCAACAAAACCCCAACACCCATTTATGATGAAACACTCATCAAAGATTAGAGGGAGAATGTTCTCAACTTGATCAACTTCCTTATTTACAAAAAAAAACCTTCTATACACACTTAACAGTGCAATACTGAATGCTTTCCCCATGACACTGGGAAAGAGGCAAGATGCCTGCTCTCACCATTCCTGCTTACTGGAATTCTGGAAGTTCTGATTAGTGCAGCAAAGTGAAAGGGAATAAAAGGGCGTTTAGATTAGAAAGGAAGAAATAAAGATGGCTCTCTTTGCAGATGACATGATTGTCTGTATAGAAAATTCCAAGGAATCTACGAAAAAAACTCCTAGAACTACTAAGTGTTTCAGCAGGGTCACAGGCTGGAATTAACTGCATTTCCACGTACTAACAGTGACACCATCTTCATAAAAATCCTGTGCCTCAGTGTTTGGAACTGCGCTAGGTGGACAGTGAGTGAAACTGTGGTGGAGATGTACCACACAGTATGGTCAGTAATAAAGGGGAACGAACCACTGATCCATGGAGCAACCCCGATGCCTCTCAGAAGCATTACGCTGGGTGAAAAGAAGCCAGACACAAAAGGGAACATACTGTGTGATTCCATTTATGTAATAATCTTGAGATAATGTTCTAGAGATGGAGAGCAGATTAGTGGTTGCCAGAGATTTAAGGATTAGAAAAGGAGGGGAGGGGATGGCTTGAAAAGGGTGGCATGAGGGAGTCCTGTGGTAATGGCACACTTATCTGTCCTGATTGTTAGGAGTGGTTATGTAAAACTGCACGTGCTGAAATTGCATGGCACTGTGTGTGTGCGTGTGCACATCTCACGAATGAGTGCACGTGGAACTGAACACATGCGAGTAAGCTGTGCAGATTGTACCGATACCCATGTCCTGGTTTTAATAGCGTGCTGTACTTCCACAGGAGGTGGGGGGGGGGAGGCGAGGTCGAGTGTGCACACATTAAGTTCCTTCCAAAGGCCTTTTTAAAATGCACGCAGAAGTGTATTTGCATTAGAAACGTACCTTGCCCCCGCATCCCTTTTCTAGACAAACGTATTTCTTACTAGTTTCGTATTATCTTACTATTCTGCGCCTTACTTTTTCTCTTCACTTAATAGAGATGGTTCCATATTGGCCATGCTTTATTTTTTCAGATGCAGAGATTGCATTGGTATTTCTGCCACGGTACTGAAATATTGTTTCTTTTTTTTCTTTTCTTTTTTTTTTTAAGATTTTATTTATTTATTTGACAGAATGAGATCACAAGTAGGTAGAGAGGCAGGCAGAGAGAGAGGGGGAAGCTGGCTCCCTGCTGAGCAGAGAGCCCAATGTGGGGACGGATCCCAGGACCCTGGGATCATGACCTGAGCCGAAGGCAGAGGCTTAACCCACCAAGCCACCCAGGCACCCCTGAAATCATGTTTCTGTGAACAGACTTCCAGGGTGTTTTCGTTCTGTCCTATTAGGAATGTGTTCTGATGAAGACCTTGACACATTTGCAATTTTGCTGGTGTGTGAATACACCTCTAAAATAAATTTCTGGGGGCATCTGGGTGGCTTAGTCATTAAAGCATCTGCCTTCGGCTCAGGTCATAATCCCAGGGTAGAGCCCTGCATGGGGCTCCCTGCTCAGCAGGAAGCCTGCTTCTCCCTCTCCCACTCACCCTGTTTGTGCTCCCTCTCTCGCTATGTCTCTCTCTGTCAGATAAATAAAATCTTAACAAGTAAGTAAGTATTTGAAATACATTTCTGGAAATTGGATATCTGGATTAGAATTTAGCTACATTTAGTCTTCAGAGACACCGCTAGATTACCCTGCACAAGAGTTGTACCATTCCACACACTTAGCCGCGCAACAATCTGATTTATCCCCACAGGCTGTTTTCACGTTGTAGGACTTCTGACAATATGTTAGGTTAAAAATGACATCTCAGTGTGGTTTTAATTATCATTTCTCTGAAAAATTGGGCACCTTTTCTTACTTTTTTAAAATTTTTATTTCTTCTTCTGGAAGCTGTGTTTATAATCATTGGGCCATTATTCCAGTGGGTTGTTGGCTTTTATGGGAATTAGTGATTTGTAGGTGTAATTTATATAATAATGTCTTTGATATGGTGTTCAATTTTTTTCGTATTTATTGTCTGCTTTCTGACTTTTTTTTTTTTTTTTTCTTCCCACATTGACTTTTTAAAAATCTTTCCTTAGACCGATCTGTGCCTCCGGGATTTTGTGCCACTCAGAAAGGTCTTACCCACACCCAGGTTATAAATTTCATGGTATTTCAGTGCATTCAGGTGTAGCCCTATTGAAATCTGGAGTTACCTCCCCACAGTGGTGCTGCTGGGCCCAGCCTTAGGCATAGACTTTATTTTTGGCCTTAGGTCTTATTTCATGGGTCTCCTCGGGCTTGTTGGAAATCTGGGTCACTGCTAGAACCAGATCAAGTTAATCTCACATCCTCCATAAAGTGGTGCTTTACAGGGAAAGGAAGTAAGGGGAGGACATTGGATGATCTTCTGGCTTGTATCCCATCTTCAGCAACCTTTATTCCAAGAGATAAACTCTTATAGAAGAGGTTATTGTCCCATGTGCTCTGGGAGTTAGTGCTTAGGTGACAGAACCCCTTTGCTGGTCTCCAGGGAAGGGAAACCAAACTTTAAGGGCTGTTGCCTCCCATTGGTCATTTGTGCAAATCCCACTTAGGTTGCTTCTCCACAGGGACCAGCTGCCTGAATCTCTGGAATCTAAAACGGCCCTGTCACAATGAGAGGAACTTGGGAGTCTTGTCCACATTTCAGAGCACAGCCCTGTGGATTTTCTTCAGAATGCAGTGCTAGTCAGTGGTCTCTCTCTCCTAAGACTTGCTTTTTCTAAATGGGTATGAAAAACATCTGCTTAGCATGACTTTACCCCCACTTAGGAATAAGTAAGCCAGAAGAAGGCCGGCCTGCGGGGAGTGTGACCGGAAATGACATCACCGCCCCTCCAAACAAGGAGCTCCCACCAAGCCCAGAGAAGAAAACAAAGGTAGGCACCAGAGTGGTGGGTTATCTTCTCTGGCTACCATTTTTTAAAACCCTATCTTCTGCTATTACTGCTTGAATCATGAAAGAAATTTCTTTTTTCTGAGCTATTAGTAGGCCTTCTCCAATTTTGGACATTCTTAGAAAATATTTTATATTCCTATTGTACCATAGTAGCCTAACTCAACCCTTACAATCTCTGCCTTTGACCCCATGATCCTGACTACGTGTAGAAATGTTCTGTAGGGCTGATTTCTGCCCCCCTTTACAGCAGCAATAATGGGATTTTGCAGAACTATTCAGAAATAGATTCTGTAATCTTTGCTTGTAAAAAGGGAACTCAGATTTTTAAGGTGGATCAAAGCTTCAGGCACTTTCACTGGTGCTCATTGGCGAGTACAAGTGCCATACTTCATCAAGGCACAAATAATGACCATTTAATCACCTGCTAATGACTTTTCTTAGAATTTTTGCAGCCACCAAAAGTTAGTTAATTGTTTAAAGCGTCACTGAATTTAAATCTTCAGGCACCGAACTGCTGGAATTTGTGACGTTGTCATTAAGAGTGAATTCCCAATTTTCTTTATCTTTCTCGTGGCTTCTTTTTTACCCCTTACTGAGCTCAGAAGAACAGAATGCTGCTTTTCAGTTGCATATATCCTCATTGCTTATAATTTTACTTTGAATTGTGCAATTTATACTTTTTTTTAATTTGTTTTTATTTTTGTCTGTGTGTTTGATGTTGACTTTTTAAAAAAAAAAAAACAAAACAACACATCAACTTAAAGCCTTTGGCCACCACTCAACCTGCAAAGACTTCAACATCGAAAGCCAAAACTCAGCCCACTCCTCTCCCTAAGCAGTCGGCTCCCACCACCTTTGGTGGGTCGAATAAAAAACCTATGAGCCTCGCTGCAGGCTTAGTGCCGGCTGCCCCACCCAAACGCCCTGCTGCCGTCACTGCCAGGCCTTCCACCTTACCTGCAAAAGACGCAAAACCCAAGGTAAGTAGCCACCTAAGCCCTGTGCCAGGGAGATGTTCTCCCCACAAGGGTCCCATCGCTCTCGTTGCTACCTGGCAGTGTAGTCAAGCTGGTGGAACTGGGGGAAGGGGAGAAAGGTCACTTGCAAATCTTGGGGGCTCACGATGCAGCCATAACATCTGAAGGCCTTTTAGACTTTGTACCTTTCCTTTCCCTGCTGGGAGGCAATACTGCATCTGCCTTCTTTTCTTTTCCTTTCTCCCAGCTCCTCCTTAGTACTCTTCCCCGGTTTGAGCACTTATTAGCCAGTTCTCCCTCCTCCACAGACTGTCACACACTTTTTTTGGGTAGAGTTCCCACATCAGATACCTCAAATTTGCTTCCTTATCTCTCTCTTTAATCGTCTGGCAGAAGTGAGTTTTGCCTGTTACTTTTTTGAATAAGGACTTCTAGCTGACCTCTGTACATTGCAACAACATGTGACAATTTCCTTTGCTTTTGACACTGGGCCTCTCTCAGTAGGCTCCCCCTGCAGGTTTTCAGTTTCCCAGGTCACCCACACATAACTGCCTAGAAGCTGGTCAATTTGGAGCAGAAGTAGCTCCAACAGGATCGTTCTAGAAGGGCCTTTGGAGTCTGTGGCTGCCTTCCTTAACGTCTTGTTTCATTTGAGAAGGGCCTTTCAGTCAGCTCAGTGTTACTGGTTATATTCATGGTGGGCAGTCGTTGCCGATGTTAAAATGTAGTGTATCGTGTTAATGTATCATGTAATCTTGTAAAGAAAATCTGTGGAACCTAGGAATTGCAGTCTAGGTTGGAACCTGGCCAAGAAACTGAGAAATCCTGTCACAGACTAAGAATGGTAAAATATATAGCTTTCTGACCCTCCTCATTTACCCAGTTGACTGCTTTCTCGATCGTGAGAAGACAGTATATTAGCATGAGAGGGCAGAGGAAGGGCGACTGGAGCCCTGGCACCCAAAGTCCTAGAGCTGATGGAAGCCAATGTGGGAAGGGGGTGTCTAGTGAAATTTCACTCTGCAGTAATAATCATCATGAAAGTGTCCTCTACTGTTTCCTTTATATAAGCTAATTCCTTTGTCTCTCTGAACAACCCATGATGTGGGTATTAGTATTCTCATTTTATAGCTCAGTGAAATAACCTTTCTAAGGTCCAGTGCTAGTAAGTGGCAGAGCCAGTATTTGAACTTGGGACTGACTCTAACACTGATGCTCAGGGCCTCTGTTAATATTCTTCTTTCATAGCTTCTGCCATTCATCTTTCAGACGGCATTGTGAGAACAGCTGACCTTTTTGAAAAGCTGATCTGCCTTCCAGTTATTACCGCTGTTTGTTTTTTAAATAAGAAACAGATGAAAATATTTTGGGAGCTTGATTAAAAACTAAAGTCTAATGAAATTTATTTTTATCCTTATTTTGGTAGAAAGATTGAAGAAGCAGACAAAGGGAAAAAAAACTTACTTAGAAAAAATAAGTAGATCCAGGATTCTGGTAGAGAAGAAAACTGAGATTGAATTGAATTCTCAATTCAATTCTCAGTTGAATTAAATTGAGAAGGAGCGGCCTAACTGCAGTTACGAAAGCGGGCTGGTTCTGTCACTTGCCAAAGCCAGGAGCCTAAGTCTGAATCAAGGGTGTCACATTTTTTTAGAGCTTTCTGTCCCTTATACCTTTTTTCTAACTTAACCACTATTACTAGCAAAATAAGACCCTATGATTATTCTGAATCATAGCCCGAATGTTAAGAATTTGAAGGAGACCTCGGAGAATGTCTGGTTTATACCCAGATCTTAGAGCCAATGGGAGGGATCCCTCTGCATAAAATCCTGTGATCTGTTCTGAACAGAGCTGGCAGCTGCAGCCAGTTCCTGCCATACTCAGGGACTTCATCTGTAGAAATGGTCATGACCCTGCTCTTTCAGGACTTGACTTTAATTGGATGCCAGCCCTTACATTTCTGAGCACCCTCTTGGCCGATTATCCATTTAAGCTGTATCGTGCTTGTCCCCACCAGCAGACGGCCCTGTGTGGCCATTTCTTGTGGAGTAAAAGAGCATGGTCCGCTGTGTCTATGATTTGGTTTATTCTCTTGAGTAACTTGGTACTTCTGTTCCCGTAGAAACTGGGCTAGATTGATTCCTTCCCTTCCTTACTAGTGAGGATTCCCTTCCCTGGAAGAGGAATTAGGGTGACCCAGATGCACTTGCGAGACTCTTCCCTTTGGCTCTCAGTCACAGCTGGGACATCAGTGCTTCTCCTCCCGTCTGGTGGTCAGGCCTGCCTCCTCCAGTCCCTAACACTGCATAGCACCAAAGCTGGTTCCCAGAGATCCTCCGTTTGATCTCCTTTATCCATCTGAGGAAGTAAAGCCCAGAGAGCCTCTGTGATTTGCCCAGGAACACACTGTGAGCTGGGGTGTGAGCTGGGGGCCTGGCCGGGGTTAGAGCTCAGGCTTCTGATCTAACTGGTGAGGGCCAGTGTTCTCGCCATTTGCAGCCCTTAACCCCGCATTCACAGGGTGCATCTTAGCCAAAGGAATGCCTGAATTCGATTGAACTTAATCTTCAATTTTTTGTGTTATGTATTTATCTGTCTTTGGTCAAGTGATTAAATTCTGATGTATTTAATGTAATACATTAGATCCTGAGACAAGCTGTATCTGTGATGTAGTATCCTTTTCCGGTTTGTTCATTCTCACTGGTTCAGGCTGGATTGGGATAGTTAGGCTCCCCGTTTGCTGACTCCAGCTGACACAGAGCCCTGCACAGCCCATTTCTATGTTGTCTGAAGGACTTAGATCTTAGAGCAGCGTAAACTTTTGCCGGTTTTCTGGTGTCCACCAACTTCCCAGGGCTCTTGCTGACCTGCAGTTCTTCTCCCTGCTTCCCTGTTACCAGCCTGCTGCAGAGGCAAAGGTTCCTGAGAAACGAACCTCACCGTCCAAGCTGGCCTCTGCTCCAGCCCTCAAGCCTGGCTCCAAGAGCACCCAGACTGTTCCAAAAGCCTCAGCCGCTGCCAGTCCTGCCTCAGCTGGGCCAAGCAGTCGAAGCCCCCCAACGCCTGTGCCCAGGAGGCCCACCGGTGAGTCCTGTCACCCTTCATTCCTGCGGGAACCAGTGGGGAGAAGGGTGGGGCCTTGGCTTTGCCCCCGTCAGTAGCTCCAGCCAACGTCACAGAAAGCCATGCACCCCTGTTTGTGCACTCATCCTTCATGGGGTACATTGAAAAGTGGATGTATATTCAGAAAATTCTCGAGTGAAAGGAATTCTTAGGGATTCCCAGGTAGGATTTACTGTTCCTTTCTTAGTAACTTCACAGCGCTCACATGGTCCTGGGCGGACATGACAGGAAATAGATGGTTCGGTTCCACTGGCGTGTACTGATGACCCACTTCTGAGGCCATGCGGCAGGCACTGGCAAGCCTGTAGAAAAGGACAAGACAGAGTGGGTGGCCGTGAATGCTCCAGAGGGCACAGTCTGGCTGATTTCCTCCTCGTTTAGTCCCAGTGACTAGCACAGCCCATGGCCTGAAAGGGACATTCAGTCATTGTTGAATGAATGAATGAATCCCAAGACTGGATGAGCCATTCACTAGGTCACTTCGTAAGCACTCAGTGTTAAAACATGCATGTCTGGGCGCCTGGGTGGCTCAGTGGGTTAGGCCGCTGCCTTCGGCTCAGGTCATGATCTCAGAGTCCTGGGATCGAGCCCTGCGTCGGGCTCTCTGCTCAGCGGGGAGCCTGCTTCCTCCTCTCTCTCTGCCTGCCTCTCTGCCTGCTTGTGATCTCTCTGTCAAATAAATAAATAAAATCTTTAAAAAAAAAAAAAATGCATGTCTGTGCAGCCATCAAGACCGAGGGAAAACCTGCAGACATGAAGAAGACAGCTACACAGTCTGCGCCAGGTAACACCCCGTACCCTACTTCGTGGAACCCTGAAATAAACCCCTGCCTCTCTGTGGCTCCCTTTTGCTCTCTCCCCCTGACCCCGTGTCCTCGCTCACTCCTACCTTTGCAGCTGACTTGAGTCGCTCCAAGAGCACGTCCACCAGTTCCGTGAGGAAAAGCACCACTGTCCCTGGGGCCGCCCCCGCAGCAGGGGTGGCTCCCAGCCGAGCCAAGCCCACACCCACCCCGCCCCGGCCCTCTGGGACGCCTTCCTCAGACAAGAAGCCCACATCAGTCAAGCCCAGCTCCTCTGCCCCGAGGCTGAGCCGCCCGTCTACCAACGCTTCTGCCCCTGATCTGAAGAATGTCCGCTCCAAGATTGGCTCCACAGAAAACATCAAACATCAGCCTGGAGGAGGCCGGGTGAGTCCAGGGAGCTGGGGGTCCTCGGCATGCCGGCCCTTGCTGCTTCCACTGCCACACACACACCCGCACCCACCCCCCCGGCTGGCAGCGTGTCCTCACATCAGCCCCAGGCTCCCACCAAAGAAGAAGGGCGGTCAGGACATTGGATTCAGTGCCAGGGACTTTCAGCCTGGGCTCCAGGTCCCAGCAGCAGGCTCTTAATTCCCATCCCCATCAGAGGGGCTCCTGTTCTGTGTTGTGGGGTTTAGGCTTACATTTTGTTTGGAGGCAAAAGGGTTCTTCCCTTTAACAAGACAAGCAGAGGAGGACTGTGACATCCTGTGAAGGTGAGAGACCAAATGTGCTCCCCACCCCTACCCTGTCTGAGCGGCAGGACGTGTAGCAGGTGGAAGCTTTGATGTGGGGAGGGGAGGCTTCTTCCTGGAAGAGGAAAGAGTGTCCTCTCGTGGCTGTGGCTGTGACTGGGGGGACTCGCTGCTGCAGGCCTCCCACTTTCCTAATCAGAAGGGCTGCCACAGGGGGTTGTGACAGAAGATGGCAGGGCAGGCCCTGGCGCTTCATGCTTCAGGATTTTCTGGTGGCATCCACCGTAGAATTAGCAATGGTCAGCTCTTTGCAACGGCGGGACTTTGGTGTATGGAAAGGTGGTGGCGAAAGTCCCAGTCCAAGTCCTTGGAACGGGAACCTTCTCATTTCCTATATCATTCTCTAGCAATAAACCACCACCCCTCCCACTCAGGGTAGGGTTTAAAACTCAGGTTTAATTTGCTTCAACCCCGAGCCTGTAAATAATTGAAAACAGGGTCCAAAATGAGGCAGAATCCGGTACTTTTGGAAAACAGTGATGGCAAACTGAGGTTAATCTGGAAAAAGGGCCTGAGAGTTGCTTTGGCTAAGAGGCTGCGGCTCTGGTGTACCCAGACTGTGACCCATCTCCCCCTTCTGGACTCTTTTTAGCCTTTCCTTGGGCAAACAGTTGCAGGTGGTCTTGGTGGAGAGTTGAGTGACTCGGCCTGGTGATCAGATTGTTTTCTGTTCCAACATAGCTGAGTGGTACACTCCCATCCTCAGTAGTAGTTCCTGTGCACTACGTATGGCAGCTTGCTTGGGGTGAAGACATTTGAGTGGGAGAGCATCCTGATGGGAAAACCTACACTCCAAAGAGAATCACTAACTCAGGCCTCCTTCCTGCCTTCTCTCTGTGAATGCTATCTTGAGCTCTTCCTTGGGTCTCAGGGCTGGACTGCAGCTCCTCCCCCTGGCTGGCCTACCCTGGAAACTGGTGGTTTTTTCCTAGGAGCACAGGGTGACCTGCTTCTTCCTGGTGGCCTGGCCTGGATTCGAGTCCCCTACAGCTTTCTTCCCTTCTTGGCATTTGGGCTCTTACCCTCTTGGTTTGAAATGTGCCCTCCCTTTATCTCCATCCAGGCCAAAGTAGAGAAAAAAACAGAGGCATCTGCTCCGGCTCGAAAGCCTGAACCTAACGCAGTCGCTAAAACAGCCGGTCCCATTGCGAGTGTGCAGAAACCACCTGCTGGGAAAGTGAGTTTTATTTAGACTTTTACCTCTTGAAGGTGAAAGATGATAAACTGTTTCTTCCAGCCTGAATCACTTTCCCTTCTACTGCACTTTTTTCCTGTCCTGAACTAGTTTCTACGTTGCCCCTGCATTCCCTCCTCTTTGTTTGATGACTCAGCCATCAGAAAAATTTCTGTATTAACCCTGACAGTTAACAGAGTTGGGAGCCTATTACCCTCTGGGGAATATTTATTCAACCGGATAACATGGATCCAAAGACCTTCAGCCCCTTCCTTCCCACTGACCTTGATGTGAAACCCCACCCGTTTTGCACACGAAACACGCACACCGAGCACCTAGGTCCTGCCTCAGGGAGACATGGCCTTGGTTACTTTCCAGCACCTGGAGCCCCGGTGCTTTAAAGTGACCCAGAAGGCCCCTCTCATAACATGCTGACTACAGAGATAGCTTCATTTGCTCCGGTTCCCCATGTCCCCTCCTCACTGAGGTTCGGGTGGTCATTCCCTCTGGAAACCCACTCAGCCTAGGGCTTGCACAAATAAGCAGAAACTCTAGGTTCTTTCCTCTTTGCCTCCACATCCTGGAACCAGGCCCCTCCTGCTTGCTGTGGGAACCTTCTTCCCTTAGCTGTGGCATGTCGGTGGTCACTCCAGCCAGGGGCCGCTGGAGGGGCCTAACCTCCAGCTCTCAGGGCCCAAGGTGGGCAGTGTCCTCCCAAGGAATGTGTACAATCGGTGAGGCTTCTAGGTGACTCCTGGAGGTCCTGTAGGCCTCTGGTTCAGAGCAGGTTTTCATTAGGAAACAGTTTGCTAACCAGTTACTCATCACTGACATTGTAAAGAAGGCACAAAACTGTAAGGTATTCGGGTGGGAATTTCTCGGGGTGGATTTCTCCACGGTGTGGAAAACTCTTCAGCTTGGGGCCTGCTTCATTTGTGAAGGGCTCTGAAGCAAAGGAAGGAAGGAAGCTGGCAACTGTTTCTTTTTCAGAAGGCTCAAAGAGAAGTCTTTGTTCCAGCCCTTAGAGCCTGGGCCTTTGTGTGGCTGCGTTCCAAGGGGAGCCATTCAGAAGCACTACAGTGTGCTGTGTCCAGTCCCCGTACCCCACCCCACCCCACCCCCGCCCGCCCCGTAATGCATCACTGCAGCCCTGCTTGGAGCCACTTCTCCTTGCGCACGAAACTCGCAGAGCACAGGATCAGGCATGTGGAGGATTGAGGGAAGTGTTTTTACCCTCTAGTTGAAAAAAATCTAGACCAGAAGTTCACCCGTCCTGTGCTTTCTCGAGCCCCGAGACTAACAGGCTGCTGGAGTGTGGAGCTGCCGAGAATATGGCGTGTGCTCCCCCTGGCGTCCGGATTCCGCATGGCAGGCCCAGTGGCCTCTGGTCCATTTGCATTCATAACTGAGCTCTGATGTCCCTTCCTTCCTGTATCAGATCTGTGCCCTGTGAGCCAGGTGCTCGGTGCTTCTCGGAGCAGCCTTTGCCTCCCAGAGTGGGTCTGGCTGCCACAGTTCCCAGCCCCAGCTTTAAGGGAAGGGCCAAGCTTCGGTGAGGACCAGTCCGATGAGCAGGACCCTTGCAGAGAGGAGTCCCCGGATACTGCGTCAGCTTTTGGGGAGAGAGCAGGTGGGAGGAGGAGCGGGGCTGTGCCTGGGTGGGCATCCGGGGCCTGCTGCTGCCTGGGCCTCGTGAACCACAGCCCGGCCCCAAGGACCAGCAAGGAGCACCATTAGCCCTTCTGCAACCTCTGCTTCTGTCCTCGTGTTGTCTGTTCTTGTCTTCACTCCCTCTGCCGCTTCCCTCAGATTCCTTCCCCCGTGCTTCTCCACAGCTGTTCTGCTGCAGGTGGGCCGGAGCTGTAACCCCACCCTGTTGGCCGCTGTGATCACGTGTGGACTCCCCGTGTCGGTTCTAACCAGCCCTCTCCCTTTGTGTTGTTTTTTTTTTCTGTTCTCTAACACTCCAGGTCCAGATAGTCTCCAAAAAAGTGAGCTACAGCCATATTCAGTCCAAGTGTGGTTCCAAGGACAATATTAAGCATGTCCCTGGAGGTGGTAATGTAAGTATGAGCTCTGAACAGCTGGTGTCTGAGGCACAGCCCCCGTGGGCACCCTGGGGAGAGGGCCACCTGCCCACGCTGACAGGGCCATGGCAGCCTGACCCGGGGGCTTCCTCCCAGACACAGGCTAGCGGAGTGAGGGGAGGCCTCAGTGTCGCGGTGTGCTTAGACTGGCTGTGTCGGGGAACCCCTCAATAAAACAACCCAGTGACACCCACTTGGCGTCCTCTCACCCCTCTTTCCTGTCTGCTCTCTTTCCCCGACTTGTCGCCTTTCTGAATCCTTCCTCTCGTGTTTCCTCAGCCGTTCCTTTTCTTTGTCCCCTTCCTTCTTCCATCCACACACTCCTTTATCATGCTGCCCTTCTGTGCCAGCCCTGAGCTCTGTGTGGGGGACACAGGTGGCTCCGGCTGGTGGGGGCCCTGGTCCAGCGTGAAGAACACCTGTTCGCTCTGCACGTGTCCCCGTGACTGTGCAGAGGCAGGTGTGAGTTCAGCACGCGCTGGAGGGGGTTGTGTGTGGAGCGGCCTTCGCCTTCGCCGCTGCTCACCCGCTTCTCTCCCCACCGCAGAGGGAGCGAGCCCATCCTGCTCCGTCCTGCCCACTCTGCTCCTTCTCCTTCCTGCCCGGAACTGGGCTGAGTGCTGCTCTGCTCGCCCCGTTCGTTTTCAGGCTCGGTCCCTCCTGCCCCTTCAGTGGCCGTGCCATCCTGCGCGTGGCTTACCAGCACTGCCCCGCCCCACCCCCAGTGGCTCTGCTGTGAGGCTGTGAGCTTCTGACGGAAGCTGTGAGGCTTCTGTCTCAGGGCATCCGTTTCTCGCTCCACACAAGCCCCCTGACTGCGTCTCCTTCAAGTCACTTCCCCACCGGTGGCTCTCCCGGCTTGGGCGGGAATGGCAGCCTGGACACCCGGGGTGGGGAGAGGCAGCTGGCTGGCTTGGGAGCCGGCCCAACAGGAGCCACTGGTGTGGGTGAAGGGTTTAAAGACAGTATCTGCTTCAGGTGATAAAGATCCCGCTTATGAGGGCCCCGGGTGGGCACCGACTTTTTAGCTTTCCTTTCAGGCTTTGGCCTAGATGAAGACCGGTGGGCAGGAGAGTCTGAAGGGATCTGTCATTGTGTGTGTGACAGAAATGCACTTGGTATGGCGTGCGGTCTGTGCACGAGCTCAGGACATAGGCATCGTTCGTCACCTCCTGTGCTCTTCCCACACTGCTTACACATGATTTCAAAGGTTTTTTAAAAGCATTTTTTAAAAGATTCTGTTGATAGCGTGAGCTAGGGGGAGACACGTGATGACAGAGCATGGGGGACAGGGATAAGCAGACCCTGTGCTCAGTCTCATGACCTGAGCCCCAGTTCAGAGTCGGCCGCTGAACCGACTGAGCCCCAGGTGCCCCATAAATGTTCTATTGTGGGGTGAGGCCTCTTTAGACAACAAGGCGTCCGGAAGCCGCCTGGGAGCAGTGTTCGGGGGCGGCAAGAGGAGGGTAAACAGCCTGGACGGAGGCACTGTCCTTCTTTCCTCAGCCCCTCCATGAAGCCAGCACAGACACAAGTGCAGTGAAGAAAGTGTGGGTCCGCCATGCAGGCCGAGCAGTGTCCCATGTCACACACAAACCTTGTCCCCTCCTGAATAGATTTCTGAGGCGGACACCCGAGGAGAGGCCTAGAGCAGGACCCCAGTCAGTGCTCCAGAGCCCCCCGCCACCCATATGCGCGTCCCCCTTGTTGGGAGCCAGGGACACGTGAGGGCAGGGAGCAGAGCAGATTTTCCCCCAATTGAAGATTTTGGGACCGTTTTTCTCCCATTTCACCCTCATGAGGTGAGATGTGTGTGATGGGTTCTTGTAGACCCGGTGGCTATGTCATCTCAGCCTCTACCACTGCCTGCAGTGGGCTTCGGGGTGTCACCGGCCGGGGTTGGTGGGGGGCGCAGATGGTGCAAACAGCTGGAGCGAGGTGTGGGGCGTCTGGTGGTGGCGGGGCAGCAGGAGGACTGCAGAGGCGGCGTGGCTTCGCTGGGGCAGCATGTCTGAGAGACACATGTCCTAGGTCAGGGAGGCGGCACGTGCCTCCCTAAAGCATCAAGTGGTGGCGAGTAGGCGGGCGGGGGCAAGTCGGGGAGAATTATCTGGAAGGGACTGTGCCTTCTCTCCGTGCCAGCCTCAGGAGGCAGAGCCACGTCTCAGGTGCAGCGGGCCTCATTAAGTGACGGGGACACAGTTACACTTTTTAAAACTTGATGTTGTAGAGAATTTTCAAATACATACAAAAATAGAAAAAAAAACACTACAGTGAACGGGATGAAACTTTTACCCGGCTTCCTTTATTATCCTTGTGGCCAGCCTTTTTTTAAAGTGATCTCTGCACCCAGTGGGGGTCTCAGACTTGTGACCCTGAGATCAAGAGTCGCACGCTCCACGGAGCCAGCCAGGTATCCCTCCTTGTGCCCAGTCCTAGATACATCATTCGTGTGCAGATTCTCGGTTTATAACTTTAAAAGATAAGAACTCTTCACGTGTGTACATATGTGTGTGTACGTACGTGTGTGTAGGACTCCCACTGACTGACATGTTAAACAGGTTTGCTTGTTTGAATCAGGATCCAAGTAAGGCCCATAAACTGTGATTGGTTGATGTGTCTCGTCTTAAGTTTCTTTTTACTCTGCAGGCCCCCTTCAGGTATTTTTATGTATAAACCAAGTCGCTCATCCTCGAATCTGGATCCTGCTGATGACAGCGCCGTGGTTTCGTTTAGTGTCCTTCCGTGTCCCTTGATAGTCTTTACATTGACTCAGGTTTGATCTCCCCCACCCCCAGATTTTTGCAAGACTTTCATAGGTCGTGGTGGTGTTTCACGTCGTGTTTCACTCTCTGGTTCTCTCTCTCTCTCGCTCTCTCGGGTGGCCAGTACTGAGAACCATGCGTTCAGTAGCGGGGTGCACTGTGCTTCTTCCTCCTTCGTCCGCTGGCTGGAGCATGTCTGTAAAGCAGAACTGCCCCCTTACCAGCTGTTGTTTACTTGAGGACCAGACAAGAAGTAAACAAGTGGTGGCCTCAGTGGCAGAACGCTGGCTCAGGAAATGCGTGGGCTCTAGACCTGGGCTATCACTGCCTGCGGCTGTCTCGGATTGGCACGAGATGAGTTGCCACCGGTGCTGTGGGTCACATCTGTCTTGGTTCGGTGGCTGCCAGACGCTTGGTTGGGAAAAGCACTTCCCTGTGTTCTCATTTCGAGAGAATTGCAGCCTTGTTGGAAAGAGGAGACAAAGTGGAGGCCTTTGTTTTGAGGGTGTTAAGTCCTTTATAAATGACGACTGAATGCATGAACCACTTAGTGTCCTGTTGATGCTCACGTCCCTTCATGATGACGTGAAGAAGAGGTGGAGTGAGGCTGGAGCCCGGGAAGGCTTTGAAGAAGGTGGCCCTTGAGCTGGGCTTCAAGGGACGGGGAGGAGAAAGCAGTGGGCTTGCCAGGCGAGGGGGCAGTATGAGCAGCGAGGGACGATGGCTCACGCAAGCCGAGGGTTATGGGAAATGACTGTGCGGCCGGCCCTGGGCTGCCGGCGGGTGCAGGAAAACGCAGTAGGCATTGCACGTGTGCTCTTGGAGTACGTTCGAAACCGTATTTCCTCTGGCTGACGAGAGGGAGAGGGTGCTAGAAGGTGATGTGACCCCACCGGTGGGTGTGGCACCTGCTGGCAGGCCTCCCTGGGCCCCTGCCTGGAGGACTTGACTGCAGTGGAAAGCTGGGCTCTTCCACAGAACCGGGGAGCAGCTGGGCCACTCACAGGACCCTGGAATCTTCATCCCAGAACCCGGTGCCCACCTGTAGATGAAACACAAGTCCTCAGTCCCAGTAGTGAAATGCTCACCCCTGCGGGATTCCTGTCAGGTAGAAGGCTAGTCATCCTCTGATGACTCCCCAGCGGTGAGCAGAAACTCAGGTCAGCCAGAGTGTCGTGGAGCCTGGAGGCTGCGCCTCGCCGCTGCAGCTGTGGGCCCGGGGCCGCTGGCATGGGCTCTGCACCCGGACACGGCCGGGCGGGGCCCAGCGCCATGAGAGGGTGAGGGGCCCGTCGTGCAGGGGGTGTGAGTTCCCTGAACAACGAGCAGAGCAACGGAACTGAGCAGCAGAACTGAGCAGTGTTCATATATAAATTAGCAAAGTTTTGGCGGCAGTGGTGGTTTTTTGTTTTAACTTTTTTCTGCATATATTCTATGCAGAACGTCCTCCAGGGCCTCAGGTTCTGGTTCTTCGGGTCCTCCTGGGATCCCGTTTTCTTCTGAGCAGCCGCCTCTTCTGGTTTAGGACCAGCCTGCTCCCTCAAGTCAGGAGCAGCTCGGGCGGCAGGGAGAGCGCGGTGTAGGCTCACCCAGCCCCGAGCTCCGGGAGCTCCACACCGCGTGTTAGTGGCTTTGTTCTCCTGTTCTGCTCCGTGACCAGGGAATCTGACTCTCACGCTTTTGGTTCAGCATGACTCTGCCTCTCTAAGCATGGGCAGTAAAAATTCAGCACTGTCTTGGGGCCACCCACCCTGTGTCCGGCCCTGCCCTTCAGCCTGGGCCTGCGTCCCACCCCCGCCCCTCCTCCATCGTGGCGACTGCGTTGCTCCCGTCACTTGTGCAAAGGGACACCTTTCAGATACTTGGTGCCTTTTCGATTATGCCTCCCCTGGATGGCCTGGACCGTTTCACATGTTCTTAAAGTGAACGCGAAGGTTTGAGCCTCTTGATTTGCCTGATTTTGTAGGGTTTTCTGGGTCAAGTGAATAGTGAGCCATTTTCAGAGATCACTTCAAACTGCTTACGGGAAGAGTGTTGTTATTGTTTTTAATGGGAATATCCAGTGCTGGGAGGAGGATGTGGTCAAACACTTCAGCTCGGTGGTGGATGTCCGGTTGTCACATTTCTAGAAAGCAGTTACGTCCCGTGGCTTAAGAACCTTAATACATACAGTCTAAACCTTTGGCCAGCTAACTGAAGTTCTGGGCATCCTGCTTACGGGTCCTCAGAATTGTCATGACTTCTGTTCACAAAGATTGCTGCCATGGTGGGTTTTGGTTTTTTTGTTTGTTTGTTATTTTTTAAGATTTTTTTGTGGGGAGAGTGAGGGGTGGGGTGCAGAGGGAGAGAGAAAGTCCTAAGCAGACTCCACTGAGCGTGGAGCCCAACACGGGGCTCGATCCCACATCCCCGAGATCATGACCCAAGCTGAAAGCAAGTCCGGTAGGTGCCCACCCAACCAACCATGCCCCCTAGGCACCCATATCCCTGCCGTGGTTTTAATGGTGAAAAAGTAGAAAAAATCCAAATGTTCAATATCAGACATGGGTTCGGTTTATATAAGATCTTAGAGAATAGAGAATAGAGTATTATATGTGGCCCCTCTTTACAATTCTCAACTTTTGCGGGAAAACGTTTGTAACGTGAATGAAGCAGGAGTACGCATGCGCATCCTAGACCGATGCCTGTGTGGTCACCCAGGAGGGAAACACGCCCTGAGAAGAACTGGCAGGAGAACATGAAAACATTACTCCAGATTTTCTCTGAGCAAGGGGTTAATGGGTAAGATTTCAGGTGGAACAAAATGACATTTTAGATTTGGATCCAGACAAATGGGGGAAGAGCTGCCCAGCAGGTGCACCGTTGCGGCGGCCGGTGTGCATGGGAACCGCTTCGGTCCGCCTGGGGTGGGCGCGGAGGCTGCAGGCCCTGGGATACAGCCTCTCTCTGAGGCAGTGCTCTTCTTGCGATTGGTTTCTCAGGTTCAGATTCAGAATAAGAAGGTGGACATCTCTAAGGTCTCCTCCAAGTGTGGGTCCAAGGCCAACATCAAGCACAAACCTGGTGAGTGCTGCCTCCTACACCCCAATCCCAGCATGCCTGGGGCCTGTGGTCCTGCCAAGGCCGGCTGCATGGGTCATTCCCTCAGGATTCCTGGAGCCGCCCCCGCCCAGGAGGCAGTGATGCGAACTGCGCAGTGCAGTGCCTGTCAGGGATGGGGCTCTGGGCGCTCAACACCTCGGGGCCTCTGAGGAGGAGCAGGTCGTGAAGGCTGCCATTGTCCTGGGCATCACTGTCTCCAGCACCCTCCTGGGTCACAGGCCAGGACCTGGCGCCCAAGGAGTTGTCAGATTAGGCTCCTTTGAGGCAGTGGAACCTCGGCAGCCGGCCGTGGCTGGGGGGGTCTCTCTGCTGCAGCGGGGGTGCGGTCAGCCCCAACCCTGGGTCCGGCTTCCCGGAGGCTGGGCACTGGGGCCAGTTCCCTCTCAGCAGAAAGTGTCACCATCCATTAGTGAACGTGTCCTGTTTAAAAGGATCAGAACAGTTTGGCCCTTAACTCAATGTCACCTTCCCCTTTTTATCTGGAAAATCTGCTCTTGTGTGGTACCTCCCTCGCTAGTGCTGTTGACTGACTGGAGGCCCGGATTTTGCCTGGGGGGTGGGATGGGAAGTGGACTCCAGGGTGGGGGTGAGTTGGTGAACGTGGCCAAGAAGCTGGGACGTGAGCCGAGGAGACGGCCACGTGAGGGAAGCGCAGCTGCGGGGCCTGGAGCAGGGTGGATCCAGCAGAGCAGTAGTCTGGGCCCGGATCCTGTGGCCACACCGTGGCTGTGAGCTCTGAACCTTGTCCTGGTGTGCGGGCCACCTCCATGCCCCAGCCAGGCAGGAGCACTGGGCCCTGGGACCCTGTGCCTGTCCTTTCTAAACTCAGTGCCAGGACCACTCCCACTGCTCCTCCTTTCCCTACACTGCAGAGAAGCCGCTTTCCACTTTCCTTCTTGTCACTACAATGCAGCTCAGTTCAGCGGCTCAGACCACAGTCCATCCTGTCTGCCCGTCACCAGCTTGACGGTGACTTTGGGCAAGTCATTCGTCTTTTCCAGCACCAGCTCTAGCAGCTGTGAAACCAGGATCCTAACCCTGACGGACAGAGTGTTCGTAGACTGAAAGGAAGCTGGGGCACCCCGCACCCCCCAAGTCGGAGGGAGTCACTACACTGCCAAGAGAACCTAAAAGCACACGTCCTCGAGGCACTTTCAGATGTTTGGCTGGAGGCTGTGCCTCGGGCTTCTGGCAGAGGTGGGGGTGACTTTGCTTCTCTGTGGATGCGTTCCCGCTGCAGGTGCAGATTGTCAGCCCCACATTGAGAAGATGAGTCCTCTGTGACAGGCACATTCACTGTCCATCCTGCGTTGTCCCCAGAGCCGCTGGGAACAGGTCACGTTGGTGTCTGTACTGGGCACGCAGCAGGTCCTCAGCCAAGCTAGGATTCCTGTTCCAGCCTCCAGGTTTTGCCTGTGTGACCGGTGGTTTTTTGGTTCCAGGTGGAGGAGATGTCAAGATTGAAAGTCAGAAGTTGAACTTCAAGGAGAAGGCCCAGGCGAAGGTGGGATCCCTCGATAATGTGGGCCACCTGCCTGCAGGAGGTGCCGTGAAGGTAGCGAGTGGGGCAGCGGGGGCCACAGCAGGGGACGCTGCCTGGCCAGGGTGGGTGGGGTGGTGCAGCTGGAGTCGGGGTCCCAGCAGCTGGGTGCCTGTCACCGCCCCTCAGTATCGTCAGGAGTCCTGTGCCCCCACGCCGTTGTGTGTTCCCCGTGTTCATCATCAGTCCCGAGTGAGGCAGGAGAGGTAAAGAGGCCCCAGCCCAGCGGCCTCTGCCCTGTCCACCTGGGGAGAGACCCTTTCCTGAGAGCTGTGGCCTGCCTTTCTGAGCCCATCTCAGCCATTTCCAAAGGGCCCGTGAGCTGGGACGCTACTCGCCCACAAGGTGGGTGGTCCGCGTGGCCTGACTGTCCCTGTCTGCCTCATGAGAGGGCACATGGGGACGTGTTCCATGCAAGGCTCCGCTGGGCCCGTGAGCAGGGTAGCACGGCTTCAGCCGCCAGGCCCACCCCAGGCTGGGGCTCTGGGAGAGCACTCAGGTGGGCAGGGCTTCCTATTCCCGGGCCTGGCTGGGCCTCTCCTGCCTTCCTTCCCTCCCTCCCTCCCGCCTTCCCTTACTCCCTCCTTCCACAGCACCGCGAGACCCTTTGTGCCAAGATGCTGTTGTCCTCTGTTCCGTGTTGTTGTGGGGGTGGGGGGACCCTGGGGGTAGCAGCTTGCTGAGGAGAGCTGCAGCTGCTCAGGGGAAGGGAAGCAGGGGTGAGGGCGAAGAGCAGCTGTGGTGGGCCTTCCCTCCCGCCTGGCACAGCCCAGCCTCTGTCCCAGCTTCCGTCGGTGATCCCATATTTGGGGTCCTGGCCCTGTCACAGGCTCTCAGTCATGCTTCCAGACCTTGGGAGGAGCCACTCCCTAGTCTGTCCTAGTGGGGCAGTAGCTCAGGTGCTTGTCCAAGGCCACGTGGCAGGTACTCTGGACCAGGGTTTGCACCTGGGCCTTCTGACCCCCAAGTCTGGTGTTCTTTATTCACATCATCTCCCTTTATTATTTCTGGAATTGTTTTCCAATACAGAGGCCTGTCTCCTTCACTGTTGTGATTAGAAACCACTGTGGAGTCATTGTCCTCTTTTGGGCATTCTGGGGCCCAGAGGTTCCAGCTCCCCACTGGCCTTCCCTTTTCTGCTTTACTCCTACTGGGTGTTCATCGCCCACGCCATCCTCCTCCTGGGAAGCCCTCGGGGCCCCAAAGTTTCCCTGGGTCACACCTCTCTGGCCACCCCTCCTTGTGTCCCCAGGCTCCAGGAGGGCGTCCAGCACAGCAGAGGCCTCCATGTCTGGAGACGGCTAGGTGAACAGGCAGGGGTGCCCCCGAGTTTCCAAGAGAGCCTCTCCGCGCAGCCCCTCTGCGGTGGGAGTGGTCTGGAGTTCACGGGGTCAGAGGCGGCAGGCTGCACCCCTCTGACCCGACTTCAGGCTCTCAGAGCTCCCTAACTGGCCTGCAGCACCCCCGCTTCCCAGCCAGTTGCAGACCCATACACTAGCCATCGTCCCCCGGGGTTTTGCTGATGACCCGCGGTCACAGCTAGCTGTTTGGTGCCATCGTGGGTGAGAAGCCTGCCCCTCTCGCCTTTCACCCCGGAAAGACTTCAGGAAACCTTGCTTTTCCCGGAGGAGTCTTCCAGAGTGTGTCACTAGCTGGGCTGCACACTGGGCCTGGGGCTGTGCTCTCCTGCTCTGCGCTGGGCCAGGCCTCGGGGTCAGGAGTCGCCTCACGGTGGGGGATTGGGGTGGGGAGTACCTGGCCTAGATTCTTCAGCCAGCTGGGGTCAGGGGTGGGACGGGGGCTGTGTGTAAAACCCACCACCATCACCCATCCCACCTCCTCCCCGACTGACCCTGCACTGTCTCCCCCACTGTTTCATTGTAGACTGAGGGCGGTGGCAGCGAGGCCCCTCCGTGTCCGGGCCCCCCCGCTGGGGAGGAGCCGGCCGTCCCTGAGCCAGCGCCCGAAGCTGGCGCCCCCACTTCAGCCAGTGGCCTCAGTGGCCACACCACCCTGGCAGGGGGTGGTGACCAAAGGGAGGCCCAGACCTTGGACAGCCAGATCCAGGAGACAAGTAAGTGGCCGGGCTTGGCCTGAGGGCCAGCCGGGGGCCCTGCCACTGGCTGCAAATTAAAACTTTTTTTTTTTTTTTTTTTTTTTTTTTTGATTAGAGTGTGGTCTAAACTTTAACCAAGCAACCTTTTATTTTCCAGGCATCTAATGATGACATTCTGGTCTCGTCTTCCGTCCCCTGTGTTCCCCCTCTTGTGTCCCTTGTTCCCCCCTCCCTTCCCTCCTCCCGTGTCACTGCAGATTGAGACCTACAGGCTGACGTTCCGGGCAAACGCCAGGGCCCGCACCGACCACGGGGCTGACATTGTCTCCCGCCCCCCCTACTTCCCTGGCGGCCCCAGCTCAGGCACCCGGGCCCTTGGCTCCCTCTCCCGGGCTGCGATCTAGACCCCACAGGGCTTGGACGCTGGGCAGTCCTCCAGGCCCTCCCCTCCCCCGCCCTGCTTGTCCCGGGCAGCAGCAGACCCACCCCCACACCTCCACTGCTCCCCACCCTGGGCCTGCTCCTTGCTTTGTTCCTGTCCCATCGTTGCGCACCGCTCTGCAGACGAGGTTGGGAGGTGAATGGGCTGGGGAGGCCAACTTGGGATCTTATGGGATCTAGGAGGGGGGGAACCGGATTCCAACCTCCTCTTTGGGTTTTTTGGACCAAACCCAAGAGAAACTGACATACCCACCCTCCTCGCTGGGCCCACTGGGAGAGAAGAGTGGAGCTGGACAGCCGCACGGTGGCGGGATGCTGACTGCACCCCCCGGAGCCCGCTAAGCCACTGCCTCTCCCTGTGACCCTCTGTGGTGCCCACTGTGCAGGTGGGGCCAGGCACCTCTTGCTGCCCTGCCCCAAGTTAGTTAGGGGTCAGCTCTGACTGTCCTCACTGCTTCCCATACCCGTCTAGCTGCTGTCACACTCTTTTCTTTTTTCTTTTTTTTTTTTTAATAACCTAAAAACTGGCCGAGGAGTTTGGCAGGTTGAAGCCATGTCTAAGTGAAAGTCCTCCGTAGGTGTTAAAGGAAACAGGGAGGGGAGATCCTTAAACCTCCAGCCAGGAGGTCAGGCATCAGGGGGCTGCCCTGGCCTGGGCAGCTTGGGGCCCCGGAGAAGGTGTGGGCACGGCAGGTGAGGTGCAGGGGCTGTGGCCTGGTGAGCAAGGAGGGCATACTAGGGACTGGTCAGAGTGTGGTCTGGTTGTTCTGGTATTTTGTGTGTATGCTGCTTTTCTTTTCTAACCAAGAGGCTGGTTTTGGCATCTCTATCTGTCTCATTCCCTGGGATCTAGTGGGAGGTACAAGTTTGGGGCTGGAGAAACAGGGAAGGACTCTGGAGGTCATAATCCTCCAGACTGGCAGGCCTAGGACACCAGAGCCCTGTTACCAGGGAGCCTAAGATGTCCAGACTCGTGGGGGATGGGGAATCAGGTAAGGAAATTTCAAAAAGACATGAGACAGGCCATCTCCCCCACCCCTAACAGCCTGACTGGGGAAGGGGAGAGGCGAGGCCAGCCTGTGCAGGGGTGTCCCAGCTAGGCCCGGTCTTGGGACGGCTGCAATGATGAGAAATCCCGGGAATTGTATTGACACGAAGATTCTTATTGCACTTGTATTTTTTTTTTTTATTAAAGTTTGCATGGTTTCTAATAAAGGATTAAAATGTAACAGTTTGTAGTGAAGTGGCCGGAAGTCTCCGAGGGCGTCTCCTCTGGAGGAGCATTTCCTGCAGCGCAGACTTGGCCCTTGAGGCCGCCAGACTTGGTCCCTCGCCGCCCCACCCCGCCATTGCGCCTGCTGTCCTCCTTCCTGGAGCCCAGGAGGAAGGGTTCTTGACATTGGTTCCGATCGGACCTCCATGTAGAGGGCGGGCATCTGGGCCAGCAGGTTCTCCCACTTCGGAGGTAGTATTTCCCTTGGGGAGGTGGGACATCACATCCACAGCTTCCCGAGCTGCAGGGGGCTGGTGGAGAAAGCCTTCCCCGCACCAGACGCTAGAGTGCCATGTGCCAAGGACATCGGGACACCGTGTTTTGTCAGCAGGAGAGAGGGATGGAAGGCAGCTGGGGAGGAAGTGGGGCAGCTGCAGGGCCGGAAAGTACCTGTGCCCTCCTCTTTAGCCCCGGGGCCACAGATGCTGAGGCAGGTGACTGGCTCAGTCCGAGGGAAGGGCTGGGAGAGGTGAGCCTCGTGGGGAACGGTCTGTGTGGGCTGGCGTGGTCCCAGCTCCCTTGAAGCGTCCCCCAAGGCCAAGAAGGTGCCCTGACAGCATGTGGGTGCATTTCTGCACCTCCAGTTTGCTTCTGGCTCAGCCATTGCCTGTGTCAATCTGTGATTCTGTTGTACTGATCTCAAGAGTCAATAAAGCTCATGAAGTCCTATCACACAGGCCCCATCTCTTCTGTCCGTCCTGGTTTGTCTCCAGCCCCAGCATCACTGACCTTGCCCCCTAATGCATCCGCTGGCTTCAGCGGGCTGCTGGGTACCATGCCGTCTTGATGACCTTAGCGAAGTTGCAGCTCACAGAAGGGCCGCGGCACCACCTAAGGCCCCTGAAGGTTAAGGTTCAAGTGGCCTTAGCTGCCTGTGGAACTTCTCCCTGGTTCTGCTCAGGGGGCCAGGAGATAAAGATTCGCGAAGAGCCCGCAGTGGACCAGTGGCCCCGAGAAGGAGGCCAGGGTCCTGGCCCGGAAGAAGTGGCAGCCCCGGGCCCTGCGAGAAGCAGGAGTGTGGGTGCCGGGCCCCCGAGAGAGGAGCCCCCGAGAGAGGAGGCCCCCGAGACAGGAGGCCCCCGAGAGAGGAGCCCCCCGCGGAGAGCAATGCTCACAAGGGATAAATAGAACTTTATTTTAAATAAACATTTGCACTCTGTACACAGCCCCAGCAGACACCGGGGCTCAGTCATCCGCCGTCTTGCGCACGTCGAAGCTGCCGCAAGGCCCACGCAGCAGCTCCGCCAGCAGCGCCAGCAGCTGCCCATGCTCCTGCTGCACACCCGGTGGCAGAGCGGCCAGCTCGCTGCGCAGGCTCCGCTCCACCATGCGGCCCAGCGCTCGGCGCAGCTCCCGCAGCAGCCGCACGGTGCGCGAGTCCCCCTCCAGCCGTAGCAGATCACTGTCGCTCAGGGAGATGGTGGCCCGGCGCCCGTCATCTGCAGGGGGTGGGGGAAGAGCGAGCGCAGAGGTGAAGCCAGGCTGGGGGCTCCCCACCAGGGGACGCAGACCAGCCCAAGCCGTGGTGGGGCAGAAGGCAGGTGAGTACCCACCACGGATGTGGACGTCCCCGTCGGTCAGCAGCAGCACGGCTAGCGGGTGCACCTGGGAGGAGTCCCGGACGAAGACACTGCCGTTGGACTTGACAGCCATGAAGTACGTCAGCCACCGGCTCCGCAGCCGCGTGGCCTCTCTACAGAACAGAAGGCAGGGGTGAGCCCACCCTTCTCGACCAGGCCAGCCGCCCTTCCCTGGCCCTGCCTGCTTCCTACCTGTTAATGGTCGACTTGTGTAGCAAGATGTTTCCTGATTTGGTCCTGTAAGTGACGCTGTTGGGCTTGAATTTGCCCTGCCTGGTCACCTTGCCCTGTCTCACCTGCAAGATCAAAGGAGACACGGACGGGCTGAGCGAGAAGCGGGGCGGGAGGGTGGGTTTGATGGTAGAAAGAGGCTGGTGCCCGCTGGCCCCTTCCCCAAGGCAGCACCTGGATGAGGTTGGGGTAGAGGCCCGCCATCAGCACACCCTTCACCAGCTCCTCCTCTTCGCTGTACTCGTTGCACTGGGCAGAGGCCAGGGTGCAGTCTGAGGGCTTCCCCACCAGGAAAGCCTCGTAAATGTTCTCCGAGAACTGCTTGATGAGTCCTGGGGAGGTGAAGGCGGGCTAGGCCTGCGACCCCTAAGCCACAAGGCTGGGGAACCACAAGCCTGGGCCTCAGGTGGCGGCGGCGGGGGGAGGCGGGGGAAGGGCCACTGACCATGGATGAACCGTAGGCTGGGGGCGTATAGCAGGTTTTCCTCCAGATAGTTCTCCCGGGAGCTGCGGTCCTGCCAGCGCAGCACCTCCTCCCAGCCAGCAACGGCCCGCACAAAGGCCAGGTGGTCACTGCCGCTGTCATGGCTCAACAGTGCCTTCACCTGGGAGGGAGCGGGAGGGGGCACCGAGGCCACAGGGGGAGGGCCAGCTGCGATGGCAGGTTCGGGACAGGGGGGGGGGGGGGACTGGGTCTGACCTTGTCCACCTCCGCCCTGTTCTGCAGGCTACTGCTGAAGGGGTCCCGGGTGAGGCAGGAAACGACCACCAGCAGCGGGTGCAGGCAACGGAAGATGGCGGCCAGCACTATGGCCTTGGCCAGCCGGGGGTCAGTGGAGATGTGGGCCAGGCGCTGCCCCAGGGTGGTCAGGTACTCCCGCTGGTCCAGCACCCCTGCAATAGCTCCGCGGTCAGACTCGCCCTCAGAGCCACCCTGCAGCCCTGCCCGGCCCGGCCCGGCCCGACTCACCAATCTCCTGGAGCAAGATCACAGCCTCATCCACGGCTTTGATGTTCGGACTGTCCACGGCCTTGGAAAGGAACTCCACTGCCTACAGCAAGGAGCAGCCAGGTGTGGGCTGTGAGCCCCACATCCCACCTGCCCCGCACCAAGTCCAGCCCCAGCCCAGCCCCCGCTCTGGCGCACCGTCTTCTCAGGCATGTGGATTTTGGCTTGTAGCACCAGGTTCTCGAGGGGCGTGCGCAGAATCTCCGGCACTTGGAAAGGGACCATTTTCTCCAGCCGGCTCCGCGGGAACAGGTGGTAGGCAAAGCCTGACTGGCAGCGGCCCGCCCGGCCCCGGCGCTGGATCACGTTGGCTCGTGACACCCACACAGTCTCCAGGCAGGACACCTGGGGGAGGGGGCAGGTGAGCAGCGACGCAGAGGCCAACAGGCCTTCCTCAGCGCTGCCCCTCATCTGGCCTTCACCTCACTTAATCCCTCAACGGCCCCCCCACAACAGGGACACCGAGAGCCCACGAGTGTGGCCTTCTCCAGACACACACGGCAGGTCCAAGGCTGATCTGCGCTGGGGGCCACCTCAGAACTTGTAGTTCTTCCCCCAAGGGCTGGCTGGGCCCAGGAGCTGGGTGCCACCTTGGTCTTCAGGTCATAGCGCTCCTCCTTGTGCAGACCGCTGTCCACCACATGCACAATATCATTGACTGTGATCGACGTCTCCGCGATATTGGTGGCCAACACAATCTTGCGCACCCCCACTGGCGGCTGCTGGAATATGGCCTTCTGGTCCATCATGGGGATGTTGGAGTGCACTGGTGGGCAGCAAGAACATGCTGGTTATGGGCACAGCTCCTGCTCCCTGTGATGAGGCCACAGGGCAAGGATTTTGATACCATTTTGATGGAACTGAGACCCAGATCAAGACTATATATGCCCACTCAAGGTGGAAAAGCCAGCAAAAGCAGGGCCGGCTGATCAGAAACCCAGGCCCCTGGAGTCCCCACTGGGTTAGAGTCCCTAGGCCAGAGAGCAAGACTGGTGTCTGGGGGCCATCGCGCCTCACTCGCCCACTCTCACCTGGCAGGATGAGGTACTTGCTTTCGTGCATGCCCAGGGCCTCCTGGAGGCGTTGCTGTACTCCTTTGATCTCCTGCCAACCAGGCAGGAAGCAGAGGATTCCACCTGTAAAGGGGCCCTACAGGCGTGAGCCGTCACTCTCAGCAACTGGCGGTCAGGGTGGGCACAAGGCAGAGGGGAGAGCACCCACCTGGCTCCCCTCGGGCATCGATGTGCAGAACCAGATCCGTCACGAGGTCCAAATCGAGTGCGCACTCATCCTCAGACTGGGGGGTTGGGGGGAGAGGCCACAGTCACAGGCCCAGGGCAAGGATGCAGCTGGTCTGTGACTCAGCGAGGCCAAGGCACTCAACAGGTCACCCCTGCCCAGCCCTCACTATCCCCCTGCCCAGGAACCCTGACTGTTCGGTTTCTGTCAAGGACACAGATTTGGGAGCACAGCCTCGCCAAAGGCCACGGCGCCACAGGGGCAGGAAGGCGGGGAAGCCAGAGGAAAGGCCGGGGCGGGCGGGGGCAGGCGGGTCCCCTCACCTCGTGGTGCCGGTGCCGGTGTGGGTACTGGTGCTTGCCCAGCTTGGCCAGGATGTCCTCCAAGTAGTGCTCCTTGACCGGGTACATGAAGCCCGGCACCTTGATGACAGGGCAGCCACCAAAGTAGCGGGAGAAGCGCTCGTTATCCCCCGTGGCGCTCATGAGCACAAGTCGCAGGGCCGGGTTGAGCCGCTGCAGGCCCTTGAGCAGAATCAGCAGGAAGTCCGTGTTCACGTCCCGCTCGTGGACCTCATCCACAATGACGTGGCTCACGCCCTCCAGGCTGGGGTTGCTCTGCAGCTTCCGCAGCAGGATGCCCACGGTGCAGAAGAGCAGGGCTCCGCCGCGGGCCGGGGGCTTGCTTTCCAACCGCACCTGGAAGCCCACGTTCCGGCGCAAGGAGGGGCCCAGTTCATGGCTGACCCGCTGTGCCACGGACACGGCGGAGATGCGACGCGGCTGCGTGATGATCACGTTGCAGCGGGCGCCGCGGCCCTCGGTCACGTAGCGCTCCAGCAGCAGCTGGGGGATGCGCGTGGTCTTGCCGCAGCCTGTGTCCCCAGAGATGACCACCACTGGGTGCTGCTCGATGGCGTTGAGGATGGTGTCCCGATGCGGGTCCACGGGGAGCTGGGGGGCCTCCTGCCAGACTGGCCCTCGCCGCCGCCACAGCTCCAGCAAGTTCTGGCTCAGACGTACCTCCTCTGCTTCTGACAGGGGCACGTAGGGCTTGCCTGTGATAGGGTCACTCAGGGGCCCTGAGTCCTTGCCCAGCGGCAAGACATCCTCGCTCTGCAGCCGGAGCTCCGGGGAGATCCAGGAACTGTCCACAGGGTACTGAGGGATGGGAGAAGTAAGCACAGCGGTGAAGGACAGAAACCTTCTTCCTCATTCACTCGAGAGCCCCTCCACACGGTTCACCTGGGCCGGACGCTGTGACCCAGCCCGCTGGTGGGGGCCTCCGTGCACAACTGCCTGAGGACTCTCGTGGGCGAGACTGGGCTGCTTGGGGTCAGGGTGCTCCCGGGCTCCAGCCTCAGTGGGGACAAGGGATGGGTGGCAATGCCCACTGCACCCGGAGGCCTTCAGTCAGGAGAAACTGGATGGAGCCAGGGGCAGGGGTGGGGAGGGATTCTCTGGGCTCTCTTACATGGTTCAGGAAGGTCTCTATCTTTCGGAGGATGGGCTCAGGCACCTGGATGGTGCATGGCCGGCGCTGCGTCTCACCCAGTTCACGCAGAGAGGCCAGGTTATACATGGCGTGGGTAAGCGGCTCATTGTTGCGGTCCACCAGGCCCAGGCTCTGCAGAGGGGACACGCATGGCTCACTCTGGGCCCCTGCCACCCCAGAACCAGCCCATACAGGCTCAGGAGCTTGAGCGAAATCACGCAGAGCAAATGTTTCTCTAAGAGATTTTGGGTTTTAGCAGACATTGTAAAGAGAAGAGCAATTAGGAACCTGGAAAATGTCCCTGTCCCAAAACGTAACTAGTTAAAAATCATCCCAAGAACAAGACCCGACATGTCCAGGAGGAATGCCCCTCAGAAACCTCTCCTGGAGCAGCGGGGCCCCCACGACAGCCCAACCTCACCTCTATGAATTCCCAGCATGGACCTCTAAGCCAGGAGGGCTGGGCCCTTACTGACCCCATCAGAGCCTTACAGCACCCTGTTTTCACTACCTCCAAAGCACACCCCGCCCCCTGCAACCTTTCTGGTCCAGCTGCCATCCCACCCTGTCTCCACATGGCACCCATTCCTCCTGTGACCCCATCAGACAAACGTAGATAGAATTTCTTAGAAATGTCTATTCATACAACTTGATAAACACATGCCCCAAGTCACCTCACCAAACCTAAGCCAAGGTGTCCCAACACCTCAGGCAGGTGTGCAAAACCGGTCTGTGCTATCAGGACTGCTTGCCCCCCAAGACTCCCTCCTTCGGGAAAACTACCCTCACAGGGGCTCCTGGCCGACCCCAAGGGCAAGCATCTAGTCCCTGGGGCACGGAGGTGCTCACATAGCCGCCTCGCTCCCGGGTTTCCACCTTTCCAGGCCTGCCGGTTTGCCCTCGGCCTCTGACCAGCGGCCAGCCAGCTGCGCGCTCCGCACCGCTGCCACCTCGGAGCTGGCTCCTTCCTGTGACACGCCCACACCGCAAGGCTGCCGATCCTCCGTGTCTATCCAGCTAAGACTCAAGACTTCCACAAAGTTCCATCAGTCACCAGAGCCACAGGTACTCTACCTCTCCCCCCTCCCTTTTTTTCTTTGAGATTTCATTCATTCACCTCTTTGAGTGAGAGCACACACGCAAGTTGGGGGAAGGGCAGAGGGACAGACTCTCAAGCAGACTCCCTGCTGAGCCCTGAGCCCAACATCCGGGGCTTGATCCCAGGACCCCGAGAACATGACCTGAGCTGAAACCAAGAGTCGGATGCTTAATGGACTGCACCCCCAGGTGCCCCGATCCCTCCTCCATTCTCCTGGCTCTCACTACCTCTCACCAGCAGCTGTGGCTAAAATGGGGTTCCCAGAGCCCAACATGCACCAAAGGTCTATCTGACCAGAGCAAAGAGCAGGGCCTCCTCGCCCTCTTCCCCTGCACACAACACTGTGCTGCTGTACGTTCAGATCACCCACTTCTGGGGCAGTCACGGCAGCGCTGGCTCCCACCACTGCGCACAGCTGGACTCCAAAGCCTCTAACCGCCTCACCTTGGGGCTCACGGAGATAACACCTTATGATCCATTTTGCCCACAAAGCCCAGGTAATCTAGATCTTTATAGACACCAAGTCTGCCTCTCAGCAAGGGCACCATTCCCCCAGCTCTGTGCCATTCAAAACAACACCCATGTCCCCTCCCTGCTTCACCTGGGTTCTGGCAACACGACCAATAAGGCTGAGCTCCAAGCAAAGCACCTTCGGAGGGAGTAGGATATTCCTAGGAACGGCAGCCACACGGCCTGATAAGCAAGACTTGGACATCAGATGCTTTTGTGCTCAGGCCAAAGGCCTGGTGTGGTGGATTCCATTTCCTGGAGAACTGGACCGATTCGCCAAGGGTAGGGGAGCTCCGAGACCTCGCACACATCATGCCAGGGACTGCCCCGCCCCGACTCACCTTCAGTTTCTTGCAGGCCAGGGCAGCCGCCTTATTCTCAGCCTCTGCTTTGCGGCGCCCTTTGGCGACAAAGGTCATGGGACAGGGCCAGAGCAGAGTGAGGGTGGACAGCTTGGTCTTGGTGCCCACAGTATGGAACTGCATGAGGTTCTACATGGAAGGCAAGAGAGATGGCTATAGAAAGGCAGAGAAAGCAGCTCTCAGAATCCCAAGGAATCCAGCAATGGAAAATGAACCCCCATCTCGGCAGGTGCCAAATATCGGGCACACGAGACGGGCCACTGGGCAGCAGAAGCCAGCCCCGATAGAGCCACGGCTCCCTAGGCCAGGGCTGGCGTCTCCAGCCACCCCGTGGTTTCGAACCAGAAGACAGTGTCTGGCCAGGGCCGCCACCTACCCTCCAAGCCCACTGTGCTCTCAGCACCTTTGAAGCAAACAGGGATGTTGGCAGCTGTGGGTCGAACCTGTCAGCATGAGCCAGAACCAGGCACATTCTGGGGGTGCGTAAAGCCCTTAGCCCTAGGGAGAAGCTGTGCTGACCGAAGCCCGCAGCCCGGCCACAGAGATGAAACTCAACCTCAGCCAGACAGCGCCACCTCTATGCCACTCCTGCCAGCCACCCCGGACCGAACTCGGGTCTCCCATTCCCACGGAGCCAGCCCGCCCCGAGTTCCCACACCAACCGCCACTCACTCCCGGCTGCATCACCTTCTTTATAGTCCAAGGACCCCGAGCCCCCCGCTTGGCCTATGTGCAGGCTGAGGGCATAGCTCACGCATACCTGTAGATCCCCTCCGACCTGGTCCCAGGGACAAGCAGACACAACCAAGCCAGCTCCCCACCCACACGCGCTTCGAGGAGCCTCGACTCACCTTAGCTGTGGAGGACGATGTTGCTATCTGAATCACTTTGGCCAGAAGGTTCTTGGGAAGTGGAAACTGGGTCAGAGCCCTAATAGCACTGTCGTCGTCTGTCATTTCAAAGGAACCCCCCCTGGGAGGACCAAAAGCTCAGGTGAAAAATCTCTCTCTTCCTGGGCCCGTTCTCCTCGGGCTCTGAGGCCCAGGGGGTCGGGACAGCGCAGGGGCACGGCAGGCAGCAAGAGGCACAGAAAAGACGGCAGGCCCAGCATCTTCGCATGGCCTATGATCCTCTCAGACACACAGCATGACTGGTGCTCCCTCCGCTCCCCCAGACAGGTAACTGCGGGCAGCGGGTAGGGGCCCAGGGGCAGGCAGAGTAGTGGCTGGGCCTCAGCGGGACCCAAGTATGCCCGGAGGAAGGGTCCCTGCTGCCGTTCTGCGGAAGCCCAGCCACACAGCACAATGGCAGACGTACCGACGTATGATATGAACAAGGTTCCCAGGGAACACCCCCATCCCTATGTCAAGGTGCAGCCAGCTTCCCTGCATCCCCCACGTCCAGCTGTACCTCGAGTCCCTGAGTGGGGTGTGGGAGTCCTGCTGCGTCATGGACAGGAAGTCAGTGACATCAATGGTCCCCTCTTCCAGCTCTTCCTCCTCATCCTCCTCTTCCTCCCGGCCCAAGGAGCGGGACAGGCCCCCAGGGCCCCCTGGCCGAATGCTCTCGGGGTTCAGCTGCCGCCAGGAAGCAGGTGGCATGGTGGGTTCCGGGCGCCACCAGCTGTCGGCTGGAGAGCCAAAGCGGTCGGCTAGCACGCGGTATTTGGCTGCATCAAACAGCTCATTTCGGGGACCCAGCAGTCCCCAGCCCTGGGGGGGGAAGGAGCGTTGTGAGGGGGCATCCTCACGCCTCAGTCTGTCCAAAACCTGCCCCCTTACGCAGCAAGTCCCCTATGCAGGAGCCGTACCTTTGCACCCATCCGCCCGCCTCAGCCCCCAGGCCAGAAGTGGGTAAAAGCGCACACAAGAGGTCTAGCTCTGACACATGAAAATGACGAGGTAAACTCTTACATCTGTTAGACAAAAAACTGGGGGAAAAAAAAAAAAACCCCAGGGCAATGGGAAAGCTGATACATTCACAAAGTGATCTAGAAAGCTTCGGCAGTTAGGAGAAATGGAGCCCACCCTACAAAACAGATCTATCTCCGGTCTGACCAAAGAACCCTATGCTGAGAGCGTATTCTAAAAATAACCTGGGATGCCTGTAAAGCCTTCATACAGAATGTCTTATTTTAAAACATATTATAGCTTCATTCTCTTCCAGAGAGAATACCGAATACAATGTGCTGAGTCTCCAGCACCCACAAAGCCACGTGCTGGCTCCCCTGTGCATCACCAGGAGAGACGAGACCCGGTCCCTGCCCACAGGGAACTCCAAACCCATGAGGCAGAACAAAAATGCAGGTGACCAGGGTCTCAGGAACCACAAACGGAGAAGCCAGATGAACGCAAGGAACGTGATTCCAATCCAAGTCTGGCTAAGCTGCTCGGGCATTTGCTCCCAGTGACCTCTGTGCCGCGGCAAGGGGCACCGAGCAGGAGGGCAATGCCTGTACACACTCTGCTCTGGCAGGGGCAGGGGGAGGAAGGAGCTGCGGAACCGCGCGCGGGCGCTGGGGAACGGAAAAGCTGTGAACTCCAGAATACAGAAAGGATTCCCACTTAACATCCACCCGCTTAAACAACAGGCCAAGAACGTCACACGTTTCTCCAAAGAGACACAAATGGAATAAACACAAGACGCCGACACGGCCTCCAAAACTGTAGCTGCTCGCGGCACGGCGCGAGAGGACACATTCGGGCGCAAATCCCCAACACCTCCTCCCACCTGCGTTAGGTACATTTGGGGGAGAAACTTTTTCCCCCCAAAAAAAACAATTACTGTATGTGACTGTGGAACTTCATTTTCCACAAATCCATCGCCGGCTTGGTTTAACGCTGCCCTTTAGAACTTCTGCCTCATTTTCAACTCCATCAGGGCAAGACGACTTGATGAAAGCAGCCCCTCCCCCTCATGTCTCAGAAGGAGACTCCATTCGGCTCCAACGCAGCTCCCTGTGCTCTGAAGCTGTGTGTTTCCCAAGGGGAAGGCAACGGAAGGACAGTGAGCAAAGATGCTTCTGGGAGCTGTGAAGACCGACAGAGCTACCTCCTTCTGACGGGCAAGGACCAGGCCTGGGGATGTGAAAAGCAAACACTCTCTTCAGCTCCTTCTGTCCTTTCCAGCTGATCTGTACAAGATCTACCCATTAGGATGTGATCTCTTACCTACAGAGAAAGCTCTGTGCAGTTAACACAAAACTTAAGAATTTATCTTAAAAATGAGAAAAGAAAAGATGCCCGTCAGTACGGATTAGGGAAATGCCGGTCAAAATTAAGAGATCCCACCTGACGCGCCCGAGGACGGCTGCCAAAACCCACATCCCGAAGCGCCGGTACAGACGGAGTGAGCCTGTGCCCTGTGGGTGGGAACGTGAAGCGCTACAGCCACCGTGGGATAAGCACGGCAATTCCTTACAAGAATTAAGAACAGAACTAGCATATGATCCAACAATTGCATTTCTGGGCATTGAAAGCAGTGTCCTGAGGAGACTCACTGTACACTCGGGCTCGCAGCAGCATCATCCACAAGAGCCGAGAGCTGGAAACAACCGAAGTGGCCATCAGCGCGTGAGTGCACAAACCCGATGCAGCACGGCCAGACCAGGGAGTGTGCCTCAGTTCTGACACAAGCTCCATGAACGGACCTTGAGGACACCACGCAAGTCCAATAAGCCAGAGACAGACAAATACTGTAGGATTCCACTTATATGAGGCTATGAAGTCCCAGAGGAGTCGAATTCATAGAATCAGGCAGCAGGTCGGTGGCTGCCAGGGGCTGACGGGAAGGGGAAGGGGATTTGCTGTTTAATGGCTCTGGGAGTTCAGTTTTGCCAGGTGAGAAAGTTCCGGAGACTGGGTGCACAATGCTTACCACTGCTCAACTGTTTGCTGGAAAATGGTTAAGATGGTAAATTTTACATTTTGTGTAACTTACCACAATTCAACAAACGAATCAACAAAAAGAGAGGCTATGAGCACAGCAGAGAGAGGGACAGAGAGAGGGCGGGGGAGGGACGTGACCACGACTCGCTGCACCGAAGCCACCTTTTAAACGTCAGAGGAGAACCTCTCCACTCGTAGCACTCCTGGCTTGGGACCAGCTAATTCTTTGCTGTGGGATATCGCCCTGTGTACCATGGGGCCGTCAGAAGCATCCTGGCCTCTCTCTAGGAGCACTCCTCCAGCTGTGGCCCCAGAATGTCTCCGGACACTGCCAAATCCGTGTCCGGATCCGTCCCCCGACCCCTTGCTGAGACTCCCCAAGGTAGAGCTGTTCTCAAAGATGGGAGATTTCTGAGAAATTCAGCAGATGGTGGCTATACCACTAAGAGATAAGATTTCCCCAAGGGGGGGAAGGGGTAGAGAGAAAACAGATGTCAACAGAAGGTGGGAGGAGAAGAGCCTGTAGTGACCCAGACAGGGGAGGGAGAAGGCATCCAGGCCCAAAACACTCAAGCAAGGCGAGGACCGAGAGGCTGGCCGGAAAAAGCATTGTTCCAGTCATTCAACCGTCACCTGGTGACCACTGCTATCTGTCAGCCACTGCGGGGAGAAGGCAACTAGTGAGCAGGACGAGGGACACAAACCCACAGTGGAGAGAATGCACACCACAAGCACGGGGCGCTGCCTGCTCTCTGGCAACTGTGGCACCAGGGCCAAGGGGAGGGAGTCAGGACACTGAAGTAAGTGTATGAGAAGTCCACGGAAAAGAGTCAGAAGAGGAAGGATCCAAAAAGCAAAGGGTGGGAGAGGACGGAGAAAGGGGACAAAGACAAGAGGGGGAGGTGTGGGGCCCCGGCGAGGAAGACGGCCCTTCCTCCTCAGATGCAGGGAACAGGCGGGGACAGTGAAGGCCTGTGGATCGGTGGGAGAGAATCTGAAGGAACACCCGCCCTACAGCTCTGTCCCCACTGGGGCAGAAACAAAGACCGAGGAGCCTGAGCAAGATCAAGGTTGGCGCAGCCACAAAGGGAGCCCGTTAGGGACAGACAGGAAGGCTGGTGAGCCGCGCTGCAGGGCTAGTTAAATACTGGGTAACCAAGAACCTGGAAGCAGCCCATGCCCAACCACTGGCAAGTAAGAGAAGCAACAACCGCGCTTCTGTTCCAAGGAGCAGAAAACCGTGTGGGTGCAGGAACACCCACGCGAAATCATGGGAAAAAAAAAAACAGAAACCAAAATGGAAGTACATCCACGTGCTGTACGACAGGAGCATTTACCAAGAGCTCTCCTCTGTGTTTTCTGAAACCACAGAAAGTAGGTAACTACAGTGGCAAAAACCAAACCAAACCAGAACACCCAAGTATTCCCTTGTTGGCTGCACAGCAAGAAAAGAACGAGGTGGAGAGAACAGGTGAGTGAGTGAACACCCGTGAGCCTCCACCAAGAGGCACTTGGTACCAGAAAGCCCATCAGAGCCCGGGGCAAGGGCCTTCCCAGGACGGAGGTCGGCCTGGCTCTCGCCAGGAAGGGTCACCTTGAACAGCTGGCAGGCCGCCGCTGCAGCCTGCCGCTCGGCGTCGATCTTCTTGCTGCCATAGCCTTCTACCTCCACGCTCTTGGGCCACTTTATGTGGAGGGTGACTTTCTGGGGAAGAGAAGAGAGAATCAGGCCCCTGGCCCCTGGAGACCACAGAGCTGCCACAGATCACACGGAGTTGCTGGGGGCCTGATGGCAGCTGAGCCGAGTGTAGGCTGTACCCCACGCCCACGGCTAACCCCCGTGAGGCTCAACCTTCCCATCCTCAAGCCGTTCATCCCACCTCAAGTTGTTTTGCTTCTTCAAAGTGCCATGTTCTAGCCAGAGAGCAAGGTGGGACCCATCTTTATTGTTAAAAATCTTCATTCAGAATGGTTTGCCTGCATGCTTCTGTGGGTCCCAGGACCTATGAGACTCTAGGAACAGGAATTTTTATCAACTCTGACCCTCTGCAGTCCCAGTTCTTCAACAGGGACCAGAACCAGGGGTCAGTGCAGAGGCCTGGCATACCCAAGAGAGGAACTCCTCACCTCATCTCCCATGTTCCCTTTCTCCAAACAAGGCTCTTTTTCAGACCTCGCTCTGCTTTGAGAGTCTCTGCTGACCATTTTTAATTCACAAAACCCACTCTACGGCCTGCCTGACCAAGAAGCCCGGGGAGGAAAGGGCAGCCAACCTCTTTCCTGCGCCACACCAGCGCCTCCCCCAGCCACCAGTGACTTACCTTTTTCTTCGGTCCATTCGTGTGCACGTAGACCAGTTTGTCCTTTGCATGTGAGATGCCGAGGGCTCTTCCAATTACACTGTTGAGAAGGTTTTTGGGCTGTGGGAACTCTTTTAATAGGTCCCTAGAAGCTAAGAAAATAAGAACAGAAGCATTATAGTTGCTCTTTTTCTTTTAAAAACTCCACGGGGCGTGCATCAGGACAACCCTGGGCTGGACACTGAGGACACTGGCTTGTGACCCCAAACCACCCAGGAGCATCTCGGTAAAGGAGGGAGAATGGCTTCAGGTTTACAAGGGTCAGTAAACGTGCACAACCAGACCCACTTGCACAACCACTTCCTGAAGGAGAAGGACCAGGGACCCACACACCACAGAGGAGAACCAGCCTCCATCCTCTTCCCCGTAAGATCCTGACTTAATACATCAGCTACAGAACCCTAGGCGGCAACCCCCCTTGTCTGAAAGAAGGTACTGAACAAAAAAACAAAACAAAACTCCACCACACACACAAACTGGAGATCAAGACAATGCAAGGCCCCTCCTAAAACAAACAATACACAAAAGGGAGGGTTAGACCCGAAGTCTGAATACCAGGCCCTAGCTCTCTTTTTGCCCTTCAGCATCCTGCAAAGGACCACTTAGAGCCAGATTATATGAAGGGACATTGATCAGGGATCTCCACAGTTGAGACATGCATAAGCTATTTCTCCCCCAAGTTTGCTGGAGTCAAGTGGAGACAGGATGCATCAGACACGCTGAGAAGTACCTCACTTTTTTTCACTTGTACTTTGGATCAATCCCAGAGATGTCCAACCAGAGGGGGCTTGTGCCAGACACAAGGCTCAGCCAGGCCGTGAAGAAGCCTGGTGGGAGCAGCTAAAAACAGAAGTAAGGGCCCCAAAGCACCAAAGCGACCCTTCAAGAGATGCAGGGTCAGAGACTGGCAGAGGAGATGGGGAAACCTTTTCATTCACCACCTGCAGTCTCTGCTGTTATATTCGGCTTTAAACCAGCTCCAAAAAGAGAAACTTTGTACATATGCCCCTGCCCGCATCAGTCACACATCAACCAGGGAGATTTTTCACCACAATGGGACCCTGACCCTCATCAGACACTTGAGAATGGTGGTGATGTTGGGGAAGCCTCTGTATTTTGACGAAGCTCCCCCCAGAAGTTCTGATGTAACCCTAATCCTGGGTTGAGACTGTTCCCCTGAAGCAGATGACTGTGTCAACTGGCCAAGAAGGAGGATTCTGCCTGACTCTGTTTCCCTCTAAAGAATTTGTAAAGCGGGGCGCCTGGGTGGCTCAGTGCGTTAAGCCTCTGCCTTCGGCTCAGGCTCAGGGTCCAGGATTGAGCCCCACATCGGGCTCTCTGCTCAGCGGAAAGCCTGGTTCCCCCTCTCTCTCTGCCTGCCTCTCTGCATATCTGTGATCTCTCTTTGTCAAATAAATAAACAGAATCTTAAATAATAAAAAAAAAGAATTTATAAAGCAACTGAGATTCAAGCAGTTAAGAATGGTATTTAAGTAGACTCAGAGGGCTTCCCACAGAGGGACCCAAAGTTAAGGAGCCCACTAGACCCCCAGGCACAACAACAGATGTGCACTGGTCCCCTCTCCAGCTCTACAGGGCAGGAGGAGGTTGGCTCTCTACCCACCGCTGATAGGGATGCTCTGACCAGTCTAATTCCCTGCGCTATTCAGGAAGACACAACGCTGGGAATCATTCTGTCTCTACCTCCTGAAGTACCAAGTGTATTTTAGGCTCTTTACCACACTGCTGAGGATGCGCTTACCCTTGATGCTCCAACCCCTGACCACCCATTCGAGCGGTAGGTAGATGTTTTCCTGTTTTCCCCCACGCTCTCGAGGTCCCGCGCCTCTCACCTATTCTTGCCTGGTGCAGGTGCTCCTGTCCCCGAACCTCCGCGCCCGGGGTCCATTTGGGCCTGGACCACACTGAGCTTTACAACAGCAGCGCTGCGGCCCGCCGGCGGCCGGCGGTCTCGGCCACTAGCGGAGAGGGGCCCCGGCCCGCCAGGCCCGACCCCGGCCCGTGCTCCCAGCTCTGCCAGCCCCGGCAGCCAAGGGCGTCGCGGCCCGGCCCTCACCGTTCACCATGCTTCCGTCGCCTTCCCCGGGGCCGCTAGGGGCCACCCCTGCCTCGGCGGCCTCCTTCGTGTGATCGGGGTGGGCGCAGCCTGACGAGAGGCCGCGCGAGCGTCCCTGTCGCCCGGTGGCGCGGTGGCCCGGGAGTCGCAGGCGTGGGGAGACGCCGGCAGCCAGCGCCATGAGCCTCCTGGCGGCCGCCATCGCGCTCCCGCCAGCCTCCGCGGGCCCGGAGCCGGGCAGGGACGCGGCGGGAGGGCGAGAGGGCGGGAGCAGCAACCCGCGCGCCGCCTGGCGGCAGGGAGGACCAGGGACCGGAGCCAGCCGACGTGGTCCCGGCACCCAGTTCCCTTCTCTCTCAGCCGGGGCCTCCCATCTCCCGGGCTTGTCACCTGGTGGGCAGCCTGGGATGGCTGGCCCCCAGCTGAATTCACTGCCCCGTCAAAGCCAAACCCACAGACTCGTCGTCTGAATCGGGGGCAGGAAGACGGAAGGGGACTTTTTGGGAAAAGTTCTGGCCTTAGCTCCATCAACTTAACGTCCATGGAGATGAACTCCAGGTTCCCTCTAGTTGCCACCCATTGCTCATAAATACCTCTCACATGCCCTGGCAAACTGGCTTGCACTCCAGACCAAAGAGGGAGGATAACCACTAATCCAGGGCACCCCCATCTCATTTAAAGGCTTACAAAATAAACCTGAAGAAGAATCCAGATTTGGGACAGGTAAGACCTCCTGAACATAAGCAAACCATTTTTAATTCCGGGGCTGGAGTCAAAGGTGAAAAATACCAGACTTGGATAACGTGCCCAAGAACTGAGCTGGTCCAGCAGTGTGAGTCTGAAGCTACTGTTCCTTACTCGCTTGAAAGCCAAATGGGATGCTATTTCCAAGCTACTATGTCTGGGTTCTAGCCAGGCTCGTTCCCCTTCTGCCTGGTATATGGCACTGAGGAACAGGAACGTGGCTCAGCTGGGAATCACACTGCGTCTGCACGTTGGGGCAGTGACAAAGGGCTTGGTTAGAGGTTGGCAGTGCAGCTGGGGATATGCTGGGAGGGAGGGTTTTGTTTGTGTGTTTGTTTTATAATTCTAGATCGGACTCTGAAGACTCCTGGAGAGCTTGGTCAAATGCTCGGAGTCACCCCCAAAGTTTCTTATTCATTAGGTCTGGAGTGGAGCCCAGGAATCTGCATTTTTAACAAGTTTCCAGATGATGAGACTGCTGGTCTGGGACCTCGCTCTGAGAACTGCTGGCTTATGGCAAGAACATAGGCTATGAGTCCTAATACTTGGGCTTAGTCCAAGCTCTGTCACTTGCCAGCTGTGAACCTTGGGCAATTTCATCAGTGGGGAAAATGACATATTTGATCTACTCATTTGGTATGGCTGTGGTCAGGATAAAATGGGAATGTCTGGAAGGCAGCAGAGTGCTGTACAGTGCATTCTAGAGAATTCTCTAGAATTCTCCACTGAGGTCCGGAACAACAGACCTGGGGCAGGATGGGGCAGCTTCAACTCCCACTCCTCTATTCCCTCCTCAGTGGGCTTTTAGCACAAAAGGAGCAAAAGGGAAGGTGACCTTGGCAGCAGTGATCTGACCTCACAAGGGGACAGAACCATCTGTATCAAACGCCCCTCTCCAGATCATCCACATTGGGATGGCGAGACCCTTGGGGAAGAATATGATCCCACAATGGCATTGACTTTGGCCAAGTGTCACTCTAATTAGCCAAAAGCCAAGGCATCCACCCAACTTCAGGGCAGTTTTCAAGGACTGTTAGCAGCCCAAATTCCCTCAAAAGAATTTAGAAACTTACCAAGCCTGATAATGGCATTAGGGGCTGAGGCCAAATTTTGAAAACGGTGTCTGAAAGCTGACACAAAAGCCTAGACAGGACGACACCTTCCCGCCCCCCAGAAAGCAGGGCCTGGGCCCAGCACGGTGTGCAGCAAGCCCTCAGGACAGCACTCTGTTCTGACAGCCACTTAGGCTAAGGTCGGAATGCTCTGATTTCTTGGATCTGCTCCCAAAGGGGCGAAAATAGAGGGACGCATACAAATCAAGACTGGCCATGAGTTGTTCACTGGTCAAACAGGGGGTTAAGTACTTGGGGTTCACCATACTATTGTCTCTATTTTAGAAAACGTTATTTCGAACAGAAGTTTGAAACGCTATGTTTAAAAAAAAAGCTTCATGTGATGCCACCCAACTAGCTGGTTCTCAGGGAGCTCCTTGACCCCCTTTCCTATTTCATTTATTGCATCTGGGCTCTAACAGCTGGTATCACCTTGAGCAAATATTTCACTTCCAGAAACCTCACTGCCTCTTATGACATGAGGGAAAGTCTTACACCGGGTCTTAAAAACCTTCTGGTTTTGTGATCTTCCGCCCATTGGTCCAGAGCAGGGGTTGCCAAACTCCAACCTGCAGACCAAATCCACCTACTGCCTGTTTTTATAAATAAAGTTTTATTGGAACATAGCCATTCTCACTGTTGGTGTATTATCTATTACTGCTTTCACACCACACTGGCAGAGCAAAGCAGCTGCAAAAGAAACCATATGGCCCAGAAAGCCTAGAATATGTATTCTGTGACCCTTAAAGAAAGTTTGCCAACTCCTGCCTTAGAGAATGTTGAAGAAAGTTAGAAGGGCTCAGAGATGCCCTCTTCCTTTCCACCAACATTAAAGAATTCTCCTCCACTATCCATTCTTTGGGGAGAGAAAGTTGACTTCTTTGCCTATAAAAAGGAAGAAACTTTTGGGAAAAAAAAAAGAAAAGAAAAGAAATGTTTTACTGGCTCAGCGATCTCTCTGTTCATTTCTGAATCAAGCGCGACATCTGGTATTAAATGCGCTGAACAACAACACCTTGGAGTGTGGAATTAAAATGTGAGGGATCCACTGAATACACAGGAGGCTGTTTTAGGACCCTAAACTTTAGTGGCCCCAGGAAAAAGCAACAAGAGGAAGCCCAAGATAGTCCAGACGTGGGGCAGAGACGGGAAAACTTCCGGGGGGCAAGTGAGAGGGAGCATCTCAGTCAACCATTCTGTCAGTGCCTTCGACCACAGTTAGATTTTGTGGGTGGTTAGAATGACTAAACCTGGTCCCCTTGGTTGGCGACAAGAAAGGCAAAGGGAGCCCCAGGAGCCGGACGGCCACCCTGACTGCCCTACCCATCCTCAGGGCTCTTCCATCCATATATGTAAAGCCACAGGATCCCTTGAGGTAAACCACCGTACCGAGAAGAGGGGACCCGTGTATGAGGGAATGGACAGGAAGGACTAGTCCTACAAAGGATCCTGCCAGAAGTTCTGTTATCCCACGCTGCCTTCTGGTGCTCTGTGTCTCAGATCAGGGCAGGTGGGAAAGATCGACAGAAGAGGCTCTGAACTTCCTCACCCTTTACCTAGGTAAAGAGCTTGGTGGTAGAGTGGGAGGAGACTGGCAAAGGAGGTGAGCGTTTTTTCCAATTCCAATCTGAGTCTGATGGGCACTGTAACCTATTTGAGTGGCCCCCATTTTGTGAGCACTGTTTTCCTATCTGAACACCAGAGACACTGTTTCTGCCACACAAACTTCCTTCTAAAGGCAGTGAAGTCACTAGGGAGTCAGAAAGCGTGGCAGAAAGGCCCGACAGTCATGTGTGGAATAAAAAGTCTGTTGTTTTTGGGATGAAGAAGTGGAGGCAAGACCCTTTTTAGGTTGAGAGAGAAAGAGAGAGAGAGAGAGAGAGGAGGCAAAGATGCATACACCCATGGGTGCCTTCTGGAGGCGCAGCTGTGAGGAGACAATCAGGCTCAGGGGGTCTGTGCTCCTCCAGGGAAGACAGCGCAGGGACTGTCCCCCACCAGGAGCCGCTGTCCCCCAAGTGCAGCAGCCTTCTCCCCTGCATGTGCTCAAGGAGGCACTGCCTAGCCGTGCTGCCTGGTTCATCCCACCTAACATCTTTAAGCTTAGCCAAAGCACATCTGACACTCTCAGAGCCACTCACCTGCCATGTTGGAAATGTTAACGTTCAGCCTTTTCGAGTTACAGGGCATTTTAAGAAAGAAAAAAAAAAGGGCAATCAACTCTTGTTTTGGCAACGGTAGGGGGGTGGCATTTCTTTAACACCTAAGTCAAATGGTCAGAGGGGCTGCAAGTATTTCTTTCTATGCTGCTGTCTGGAGTCGGGGCCGCTGGCGCGGGAAGGCGTCGCGGGTGGAAACTGAGTGGGAACAGGGCAGCAGTGTGGGCGGCAGAAACTGAGCTGCTCTGTGCTGCCCGACCCTTCCTGAGCTCTTGACCTTCAAAGCACTTTACAGACAGAACCTAAAGTGGACATGCTGTCTCCGCAGGAGGCAAAGACTCCATGACCTAAAATAGTGTTCTTCTGCTAGGCAGCTGGCATCGGGCGTGAACGGACAGCCAATGGGGCAGAGGGGGCAGCTGTCAGAGGATGAACAAGAAGCCACCAGGAGCACTGGTCTTAGCAGACCCGGAAAAGATCGAAGTCTGAGGGAGGGGCGGAGATACTCACAGGCGGGGATGCTTCCTCGGGTCCCCTTACAAGCCCCACCCCCCAGGGTACCAGTGGGACCTGAGGGGAGCTATCACCTGTCCGGGGGCTCGGACATCCTCCCCAGTCGAAAGGTGAGCCTACCCTGCCAAATGGACTGAGAGACAGATTTTAGTGTCAGTAAAGTGCTTTGAGGAGCTGGGGGAAGGTAGGGAGGGGATCTGCCAGGTATCCCAGGGCCTCCAAGATGGAGCACCCAGGGCCTGGCAAGGGCGCTCTGTTCTGGCCCTGCTACAGGTGCCCTGTGCTTCCTGAACCACCTAAGCCAGGGACCGCCTAGAAGATCCAAGCCCTGCAGATTCTCCACACTGATGCTGAACACCCAGACTGAGCCTAGGCTGTATGCCTGGTCACACGAGGAAGCCCGAGGAGACCACGGGGTCTGAGCCAAGGACCAAGGATCATAAAAAAACCCAGACCTTGCCAGATGATTTCTCCTTGAGGGTTCCAACAGCTTCACTAGCCAGCCCCACTCCTCCTCACTTGCTTTCCAGAGGATCGTGACCCTGGCACCCGGGCTCCCATGCCGCCCGCCTCCCCCACAGACCCTGCACCAAGCTGATGCTGGAGGCAAGGCTCCTCCCTTACCTCGAGAGATGGTCCCTCCAGGGGCAGGGTTGACACACATGGGTGGAAGGCGGGGTGGGGGAAGTTTGCACTGACGCTGCCTGTGCTGGGCCCGATCTGGGGAAAGAGAGAGGGCATCAGGGTGATGTGTTCTTACCCCTCACAGTTACAGACCCTGGGACAGACTCATCCCAGAGCATCTGAGGGGAGCTCTGGGTGGCAGGGCGGTGGGACGGGGCATGCGGCCAGTCACGGGCTCTGACAAACAGTGCCACCAATCCCACACAGAAAGAAGGCAACAGTCTACTATAGACGGGATACACGATAAATTTGTAGAGATCCCTTCCTGACTCTCAAAACAGCCCTCAAACTCTCTTCCCTGAGGCACCTTGTGTGAGTCAAACACCCATCCCACTTCCTTCTCTAGAGTCCTGAGTGGTGAGGATGAAACAAGAAAATAACTGAAAACTGAAAAACCACGGTACTGTGTAAATCCCCTTTATCTGTCTCCTGCGCATCTTAGTTAGCCCTGTGTCTGCTGTTTGTTCCCAGATGGCCACGTCTCAGACTATTCTTTCCCTCTAAGAAATGGGCAAGAAAAGGACCAACTGGCTGCTGGGGTCCTCCCTAAGCCAAGACCAGACCCACACTTACCAGCCTTCTCTCTCTTTATAAAAGTCAATGGTTTGAAAAAAAAAAAAAAAAAAAGTCAATGGTTTGCTATTCCAAATACTTCCATTCATTTGGAGACTAAATACTACTTTTCAGTGACGTATAAAGTATGTTTTTAAGACGTTCCAAAACATTGATATGCATGAACGTCGCTGTTGCATGGGAAGGTGGGAACGTACAGGGAAGTCAGGTTTCACATGTTGACCTCCACCTACGTGGTGACGATATCATCGAATCACTGGGTCTGGGGGAAAAGGTACACAAGCCCTCTGCTCTTTGCCTCGCTGGTTTCAATATGATTAACGGGGCAGGAGAGGAGCAGGGCAAGACAGCCACCCACACACTACACCCAACAGTCTGCTCGGCTGCCATCATGTCCATTTCCATAATGCAAATCGGCTCATACACAATCGGTACATGAGGAAATATCAGTAAAACATGTGAACCCTCAGTTCAAATGAGATTTTCCTAAGGCAAGGGAACTGAAATAGCAAAGGTAGAATTGTAATTTTCAACAAGAAAACAAAAGACCCTATCAAAGATACATATGTATATATCTATCTGTATACATACATGGGTGTATATATATATATACATATACATTTTTTTTTAGAGCAAGCACACACATGCAACAGGGGTGGGAGGGGCAAAGGGAGAGGGGGAGAGAGAGAATCTTAAGCAGGTTCCATGTCCGGCACGGAGCCCAACATGGGGCTCGATCCCACGACCCTGAGATCATGACCTGAGCTGAAACCAAGAGTCGGATGCTTAACCCACTGAGCCACCCAAGCACCCCTCAACTATATTTTTTTAAAAACTTGAACCTGAGTGCCTGTAGGGAACCGAGGTGATAGATACATGTGGATTCACTCTACAGTTTTTTCAACATTTCAGTAGTTTTGAGACCTTCCATACTAAAGCACTGGGGGGAAGGCATGTACCTGCAGCGAGGTCCTCCTCCCCCACACTGCCAGCTGCAAGCGCCCTACTGGCAGCCCCATGGGCTCAGAGCCCCGCTGTCCCCCACGTGGCCTCGGCACTGCCAGCCCTGTACGCTGTTGGCACTGCACTGCGCCGCGGGCCACGGCTGTCCACAGACCCGCTGTTCGCGCACTTGGGCCACCGGGTTACGCTGTACCCCACAGGCCCTCTGATGACTTGAGAGGTGTGTCATTCTGCAGAAAACACATCCAGTGATACAGGAGAAATGCCTGTAGGGTCTTCTGGAACAAAGTGCCTAGGATCAAGGTTTATCTTGAAACTAAGGTGGAAAATGATCAGTTCAACCTTTCCAGTCCTGTTTGAGAAGGGTTCTCATTCATTTCCAGGATGCTGGATTAAGAAAAAAGAAGTAAGTGATTTGATGATTATCTGTTTCATAAAGCATTTTCAGTAAGCGGGAGAGGGGGAGTTGTTAAAATTCCACATCACAGAGCCCTCTTCTGAACACGGAGCTGGAGGAGGAAAATGGCACATTCTTGCTGTTGATCTAGTGTTTTCCAAAGTTTTGTGCTGACTGTAAAGGACTCAGCTTGCTCTCTGTGGCCTGAATCTGATGGCATTGTCTCCAAGAGACAAGAAACTTGTGCTAAGAAGCCAGCAAAGGCAGTAACAGGCCACTTACCACTCATGAACACGCTAGTGGGGCGGTACTGGCAGCTCCGCTGAATTACATTAGAGACAAGATGGCAGCTGCAGACCCAGCGGGCCACTGTCCACCAAGCTGCAGGGCACTGCTCCAACTCTCACCTTCAGAAGCGGCCAGCGGCCTGACCCGCTGAGCCGATAAGCCCCGGAGTGCAAGAAAGCCTCTCTGACACCGAGCTGTCTCCTCCGATCGTGCGGCTGCACAGCACGCTGCATGCTGGGGCCAGACTGTCCCTCTCTGGCAAAACACCAGCTCCAGGGTTGCACCCCAGAGAGATCCAACTACTCACATTTATCAAGGGCCTGCCAACTCAAGACTGAGGGCTGCAGAGAGACCACAGCCAGGTGCTCTTCCTGTACTCTCTCTCATCTTCATCATACCTCTGAAGACAGGGGTTGGGAAACAGAATCGGGTAAGTTAATACCTTGCTAACGCTAATGGGGACCAGATATGAACCCCAGAGAGTCTGACTCCAGCCTGACACCATGTGACATTCCCCCTCGGGACTCACGACACCTTAGGGAGCTCATAATCCCATCATGAGGAGCAAAGAAACCTAAAAACTAGATTAGAGATAAAGAACGGTCCTATACAACAATGAAAATGTCACAAGGCTGCACATGATCAATTGCCAAGGTCATGGTGCAAACCGCAAGTGATACTAGCGTTCAGAAGACAGGAAAGGGCATTCAGCCTAACGGTCAGAAAAGAAAGGGCAGGTTTGCCTGAAGGAAAACATCCAAGGCAGTAAACTCTTTCTGATTAATGGTTTTCCCTGAGACCTTCAAGCATAAAGTGGTTGTTGGTAAGAATGTAACACTTAACCTTGCTTTGTGGAAAGCAAGGCCCCAAATCAGACTATGTCTGATTATTAGGTCCTAAAACTATTTAATACCACAGACCCGTGAATTTACCAGGTGTCAGGCCCTCTTCTAAGCTCTTTATCTGTACTAACTCCTCTGATCCCTAGAACAACTGTGTGGGCAGGTTCTAGGATCTGGCTCACTTACATCAGGAGGAAATGAAGGCACAGAGGCCCAATCACCGGCCCCCAGCCTTGGCCAGCCTGAGTGCCAAAGTGTGAGGGGAATCAGGCCTCTGGCTCCAGAACTTTTGCACAGAGACGCTCTGTTGACTTCCATGGAACTGAATGCTAATGTCACCCCCAGCGAAAAGTCTCTCGAACAAATCAATCCCAAGCCTAGAAAGAAAAATTACAAACACTCTAAAGGAATTTTGCCACAACCCTCTCACCTGGTACCATCTCCGTATCACGTCGGAGTGAAATAACACAGAAAAAAGGAGGATCATGACTTTTACTGGGCCCTCTGTCTCTTTACAAAATCAGCGCTGTTCCTTCAGACACTCCCACCATGGGAGAATCTATTTTCATCTAACTTTCACAAGTGGGCGGACAACAAAGCCCACTGATTAATAAGTAAACACAAAGTGTACTTAATTTTCAGCTCAAAATGTGCTGTCCACACTAATCTCAAACCCAATTATTTCCAGTCAGTTAACCAACGAAACCAGGACGATAGATTAATTTTTTCATGCAATACGAAAATACACGGAGTGACTAAAAACAAACAAGGAGGGGGCGCCTGGGTGGCTCAGTTGGTTAAGCGTCTGCCTTCAGCTCAGGTTATGACTCCAGGGTCCTGGGATCAAGCCCGGCATCAGACTCCCTGCTCAGTGGGGAGCCGGCTTCTCCCTCTCTCTCTATGGCTCTCCCCTGCTTCTGCTCTCCCCTCTCTGTCAAATAAATAAAATTAAAACAAACCAACAAAACAAGGAGGCAGGAAGAGGCTGTTCTGAGCCCTGGTATACCCAGCCCTCCTTCTGACCCCATTCAACAGGACACCACTCAGCCAAGGTTTTCCGGGTCTCTAGGAACACGAGTGGTAGAGGAGACCCCGAGGGAGGAAGACTCTTTTTTTTTTTTTCCCAGTAGGCTCCACACCCACTGTGGAGCCAACATCGGGTTCAAACTCACAACCCTGAGATCAAGAGTCGCTTGCTCTACTGACTGAGCCGCCTGGGGGCGGGGGTGGGGGTCTTGGGAGGACAAGGGAGGACCTTTTTAAAGCTCTACTGACTGAGCTCTACTAACTGAGCCGCTGGGGGCTGGGGATGGGAGGGTTGGGAGGACAGGGGAGGAGCTTTTGAATCGGCGTAGGGAAGGTCTATAACGGTTCTCACTGATTTGTAAATTATGCTCAGAGTGGAGTCTTACAGTGAGCATCAACAGAGATAACAGGCTTTTTACTCACTGTTCCCTCAGAGGAGGAAAGTCCTGCTCCTAAGACACGCAAAGCCCTCTGGAATGTGGTCCGTGAAGGCTTCCCCAGCTATAGCTTACTTCCTTAAGCAGGAATGAATGCTACCCTACAGCCCAGCCGCGGCTCAATTCTGCCATTGCTTACAGTCCTCTGACCCCAGCTGCTGGACAGCATGGGTTCCAAAACTTACCACAGTTTCTATGACCACCAATATAGCAATGACTCAAACCACTTTCCCCAGCGTTCGCTGAGGCCTACCCTGCAGAAGGCTGTGCCAGGTGCCGCAGATGATAAAGGAGCACAGCAGGCCCTGGGTGCAGGGAGCCTCTAGTCTAGAGATACGATGGTCAGAACAGACTAAGCGCAAGAAGGTACAGACGCGGTACAGAGGAAAATCAGAGAGAGGCGAGAGAATGCGTTTGGCTGATAGAATCAAGAATGGTTCATGGAGAAAATGGCGTAAAACACCAGCTTAGAAAAACAGATGGGAATCCAATGGGCAGTGAGTATGTGTGAGAGGATATGCAAGGGCAGGAGTAGCAAATGAACACAGGGACTTGGCCAAGGACCCAGCCCTGGGTTATAAGCACCATGCAAGGGGAAGGCAGAGAAAGGACTTTGGTAAGTCATGCAAAGAAGGGGTCTAAGGGCTACACGCTGGTACGGGACCTCCACGGCCCTCACAGCTGCCCATCACAGGGAGGGAGGGCATGAGGTCCCAAGCACAGCCATGTTCTTACCTTTTCTGAATGAGTCCAGGCTGAACATTTCTGGCCAGGAGGGAAAGCTGGAATCCTAAGAAGGTGGGTCAAAAGGCAATGGTTACAATTCTTGGTCCAGGATCCCACAGAGAAGACTTCAATAACACAGACAGGGCTGTCCAGAAGGCGAGAAAAATGAAGCTCTTCACTACCGAGCCCCAGCTGCTGCTCCCAGGATTAAGGATGGAAGGGCCATCTCCACTCTACAGTAATTACATGGTTTTGTTTTTTTCTCACTGAGAACTTTCTTCTCTTCTCTGTCCTAAACTCCCCGAGCCCTGCTCAACAGAACGAGATGCATTTCATCCTGAGAGACATACTTCCACCTCATCGCAATACTTGCAATTTTCCTGGGACTTCTGGGAAGAAAGGAAACTCTACATGGACCCCTTTTCTCATGTGGCATCAGCGAGCGGGACTGATGACTACCCTATGGACAAACTAGTTTATGGGGCTCTCACAGAACCCAGGTAAGCCCCTAGGGATGGGACTTGATGGTTGTATCAAGGAGTAACTTTTGTAATTCAAAATAAAAAGCTTTTCATAGTGGAGTTTATTAAATAACAAATATTAAGTTAAAGTTCAACTGTTGAGCAAAAATGTTGGTACATTTTGTTCATTTAACTGATGAGTATACCTAGAACCTTAAAACACACACACACACACACACACACACACACAGATAAATAACACTTCTGGTTTAACGATTTTGTTTTAAAAAAAAAAACACTCAAACTCACTTATAGACATTTTTAAGAATGTAGTACTCCTGGGTTGGTACAGTAACCTTTTGTGGCCTCAGTTTAAAAACATCTACACAATGTTTTAACAAACCAGGATAATGTCCAACATTACAAGGAGTCTAATAGGGCCTACATTCCTGCTCCTGACTGCTTTCCCGTCTAATTCTCAAATGGCGGGGAGATGCGGGTAGAGGGCTGACCTGGGGCCGAATCTTTCAGGTCCATAGTAGGTCTGCCCTGATGGCCTCCTCTCCCCCAGGGATGCCGGAAATTTCAGCCGATAGCATATGGTAGCTCAGAGAGAAAACTTCAATACAATATCAACAATGATACAATTCACTTTAAGAAGTTACATCCTATAGACTCCTTCTTTCCAAATTAAAAGAAAAAGGGTGTAATTTGAGATTCTAATCTTAAAGAAAAACCTGAATACTATAAAATCTAAACCATCTAAGTGTTTATTACTTGAGAAACAATACTTTCTTGCTAAGAAAGAGCAAATTAATTTGCTTGTGAACAGACTGCTCCGCTTTTAGAAAGTCCCCAACCCTCTCCAACGCTCATATAACACTATCTTTTCCTCCATCAGTCTAAAAACTACGTATGATATTCAAGATAGGATGTTTTAAGACATTTTACTGAGCTCTAGAACATTTCATGGAGACTGAAAGAAAGTTGCATTCCTTGAAATATAATTATGTTGGAAACCTTTATGATTCAGAGTTTCTCTTAAATAATTCAAAGGTAAGTAAAATAATATTATGTCAAGAGTTCTTGCATAATGAAACACCACTTAACTCCAAGTAGAGTCACTATGGGATGATTCAAGGACAGAGAGATTCCATAATGACTAATTTAAAATGATACCCTTCTTCCAAGACAGTCACAAATGGATTTAATATGTGCCTTTGCTTTACAGTGTGGCTGAGCATGAGGTGTGCCACTGTTCTGCATGCATGGCTAAGTCAACTTACCTTACACGAGCAGTGACAGTCTCAGATTTTGTAGGTTTTTGAACTGGAACTGAATTCTCTCCTTGCTATTCCTCATCACGAGGCTGGGCCTCCTCCTAAAAAATACAAGGTTGGGTCACTAAAGTGATGGGTCCCACGGGGAAAATAAAGTTGCTGCAGACCACTGAAATCCATTTACTAACTCTAACAAGTTTTGTTAATGGCATGAAGCACACACTGGACACATTAGCCTCACTTCAGGACCCACCATGACAGACTCACGACCCATCAAATTGTGAGCTGTCCTACACCAGCACCTGTAAGATACCAAGAAAGAGATGTCATGGTAAAGAGGGGCGTATAGTCCTGAAAGCATTTTCTTCAAGCCCAGAGCAAGACCCGCTTCAGTTCTGAGTTCTAATCCCATAATGACCCTACTATGACCCTACTTAAGGTAGGTAAAGAAGCTCTTACAGATTAGGAAAATGACAACTAAATGTTGAATGCCATTTTTATACTTCACAAAGTATGGAAGCATAGACTTTATAGCACTTAACCTATGTAACTTCCCAGAAAGGTTGAAACTCTCTTTCCCAGAGAAGGAAGCTGAGACAGATTTTCCCAGAGAAAGTTATACAACTTGCCCAAGATCCCTTAGCTGACTCAGGACAGAATGGAAATCCGCATTTAGGTACTGGACTCCAAAGCTTTCCATGCTTATACGACACTATTTTTCTTATTTCCATGATACTATGCTGTTGCCTAGAAGTCCCATGGTTCATTCCTGGAAATAATATTTTATAGTGATATAAAGGTTGAAAAGGGGCAAGATGGGTCCAACTGATAAGCTTTGGACCATGGCTTCATAAGTTAAAATGCTTGGAGGATAAATGTCTTTTGGAGGTAAAGAGGCAACCTACACAGGTTTAAAAAAAAAAATGCAGCAAAGGATGTATTTCCCACATCTTAAAAAGCTCTGCAAATAAAGTGCACTATCATAAACTCTATCAGGAAAAGAGGCCTCCCTCCTGGAAACTCCAACACTCCAAGATTTAAGTGTAAATTCTAAGATATAGTCAAGATCTACAATGACAGGGGCCTTATTGCTTTCAAAGAAACTGCAAGGGAAACCATCAGACAATGTCTCCTTTCCCTCCGGCCAGTAAGTTGCAACCAAAAACAGTTTGAGAGTCTGCACCTGGCCATCTGCAGTCCACCTGCTACAGTGTTTGGCAAGCCCCTGTAGACTGGGTTTGCAAAGTGGGACAATCTCTGTCTTGCAACATCACAATTAAGGTGACCAATGTGGCTACAAGAGGACTAGCTAGACAGCATGCTGATGCCATACTCTGGGCTTGGGGGTTCTGAGGACCCCTGGGACTCCAGTTCACTGCAAACAAAGGACCCAACATGCATTAGGTCTTCCCCTGCGAAATGGGGCAAGTCACCACCAGCAAACAAAGAACACCTCACCCCTTGGCCTCCCCCAGTGACAAGGTCGGTGCAAAAAGGGGCAAACCAGGGGGGCCAGGATGCACCAGGCCTCCCTTTGGACGAACGGTCCAGGCGGCACAGGGGACAGACAAAGGTCCCGGGGTACTCCGGGGGCTTCCTCCAGGCCCTGCCTCGGGGAACGGAGCATCTCCTGAGGCGGAGGCGTCGTTGCGCCAATGAAGCGGCCTCTCCCGCGGTCCCCGTGGAGCCCCTGGCTACCAGGCCCGCCCCGGCGGACAGGCCTGGCCCCCGCCCCCGCCCAGGCTCCATGGCAACGGCAGGCCGAGGCCTGGCTGCCCACGGCTCGGCCCGGCCGGCTTCGCCGGCAGGCCTAGGATGCCCGGCCTGCTCCTCGGGCCCGCCCGCTTCTCCGCCCCACTCTCCGCCAAGCCGGCGGTCGGCCCCGGGCCCCTCCTCGCGCCGACCACCCCCGGCCGCGGCAAGCTCCTCAAGGGGACACGAAAGGGGAGAATAAAAAGCCCAATTCACCTGTTGTTACAGATGTGAAACAAGCCTCGGTGCACCGCGCATGAGCCGCGGGCCCCCCCCCCAACCACGGCCGGACTACAACTCCCACCAGCGGCGGCGCGGCCCCTTCCGGGTCCCGAGGCGGAAGTCCCGCCAGCCGCCCCGGCGCTCCCCGCCCCGCCTCCCGCGCCGATCACGCGTCTGAGCGGGTCTCCAGCGGGCCCCGCACCCGGGGCTCGCAGTGGCCTCCCCGGGTTCACGCCGCTGGGCGGCCAACCCGCGGCGAGACCCCGGCTCCGGGCCCAATGGGGGGCGGCCGCGGCGGGCGCAGGAGGGACTTCCGGCAGAGGCGCCGAGGGGGTGGACGCGCGGTGCCCTCTGTGGCCGCGGAGGGAACGGGTCTGGACTGCGGAGGCCAGGGCCCCACACGGCGCCCCCTCCCAGCGCCTCAGCATCCGGCAGTGTGAGAGGAGGAGGGCCCTCGCGAGCTCTGCGCCCCCGCCTCGCGGCCCCCGGCCAGTCAGGGCTGAGCCGGGGACGAAATCCTGCTCGGGATCTGGACCTCCACCCGCCTTCCCCGCCACAGCCTGTTGCCACGCCTCTTCTCCTACTCTACCCTACCTTACCCTCTCCGTTCTCCTACACTCTCCTACCCGCTCTCCTCCGATCTTCTGTTTAGGGAGGTGAGAATTTCCGCCTCACGACATTGTTAGGAGGAGACCAACGCGATGGCACGTTGTAAACTGTACGACCCTGGGGAAAGACAGGGTGGCACTTGCTGGTCCGAGTGCCGCTGGGCTGCTCTGGAGGTCTCGTCCCCGCCCCCTTGCCTCCGAAGGCCGTCTGGATGAGGCTCTCGTGGGAGTTTGGTGGAATCCAACTTCTAAAGGGGAGAACTCGGCTGGGGTTCCTCTGAGGCTAGGTCAAGTAGGAACGACCTAGGATATGCTTTTAAGACGTGGCCTTTCAGGATACATGAAGAATTAGTACCATATCCCGTCATTTTTGTGCAAACAAATGCAACAAGTTTTTTTGTTTTTTTTTCCTCTCTCTCTACATTGGACCAGAAGGGTGGGGGAGGTGAGCGTGGCGCATCATCCACTCATTCAAATAATTACTATCTTTTCTGAGCAGGGCATGGTACCGTGCTATGGCGTGTGGGAAATGATCCCTGTACAGATATTTGAGTGAACTGTATAGGAATTGTTATAAGCAGGTTTTGAGGATACAACAACCTTCCCTTGGAGGGGCTTCGGGCATGGTAGGCAAGATGAAAACATTGTGTGAGGCAAAAAGAAAGTGATCAATGCTGGGAGAGGAGGGATCAAGTGTTAGAGGGTTGAGAGAAAGGAATAGTTAATCAGTGGCAAAATCAAGGAGAAGGAACCACAGAAGCGAAGACAGCCAGTGGAACAAAAGGCAAATTCTAAGAATATGCAGTAGCTTCGTGTGACCAGAGGGTTGGATATGCGTGCGGGCTTTAAAGGCAATAGAACAAGAAAGTGTAGCTGGGAACGCTGTACTGGGGGACGTTGACTTTATTTGTATGCAATTACTCTAAGACATTATTTTTACAGTTCTAAATAGGAAAGTAACATAAGCCTCGGATTTCAAGGTTATTCTAAAAGTGTGAGGATAGAATTGGCTGGAAAAATAGAAGCAAGGGAACTAATGAGATGAGAGGTATCGAGGGATTCAACTGTGCTCAGGAGGGAAAAAGGCAAGAAAAAGGTATGACAGGGTGATGGTAAAGCATCAGGCTGATCCCTGGCCACAGGTGAGTGGAGAGGTGCCTGAGATCTGTGCCAGGGGACTGGGAGGATTGTGCACTGTTACCGTAGTGAAGGGACAGGGTGGTCAGAGGTGATGGATTCTGCTTCATACAGATTATGTTTGAAATGCTGTTGGGAACATTAAGCGATGAACATGTGGTCCCTACTGCAAAAGATGTTCTGATAGGATGAGAAAAGCAGGTCAACAAGTCTTAAGGCCTAGGAAAGCCCTGCAAAAAAAGCACAAGTAGACCATTCCTGGTGCTTTTTCCTTGTTGCAGATTTTCCGTTTCCAGTTTTCTTTCTGAAGGACCTTTCCTTGAACTATTCTTAATGAATGGTTGTATCTGGTGAAGTTGATAAAGTGATCCACTTTATAATAAGGTGAGTGCCAATGAGTGTCTATTTCCCTCTCTCGCATATACTTCCCCTCTTGTTTCCTGCTCATTTTCTTATCACTACCTTATTTTCCTGGGTCCGGTCCCTAGATTTCATTTTTTTGCTAACATCACTCTCTAGAACTTCTCCACTTCCTCTAGCAGTAAGTCCCTCTAGCAGTTTCTTCTTCCCTACGTGGTAGCACCCAAGATACTTTTTTTTTTCTTTTTTCTTTGAGAGAGTGAGAGAGAGGATGAGAGGGAGAACGTCAGAGGGAGAAGCAGACTCCCCATGGAGCTGGGAGCCCAATGCAGGACTCGATCCTGGGACTCCGGGACCTTGACCTGAGCCAGAGGCAGTTGCTTAACCAACTGAGCACCAGGCACCCCCCAAGATACATTTTTTTAAAAGATTTTATTTATTTATTTGACAGAGATCACAAGTAGGCAGAGAGAGAGGGGGAAGCAGGCTCCCTGCTGAGCAGAGAGCCGGATGTGGGGCTCGATCCCAGGACCCTGGGATCATGACCTGAGCCAAATGCAGAGGCTTTAACCCACTGAGCCACCCAGGCGCCCCAATAAATAAAATCTTAAGGAAAAAAAAACCATTAGCAGTTAACTGGTGCTTGTTCAAATCTCTATGTAAATATGGAAAATTCCATAAACTCTGGTTTTTATTAAGGTGGGGAATTAATTTACTTCATATGCAAAGAGAGCTTACAAATTAATTTTTTTTAACATCCATAATGCAATAGAAAATGTGTATTGGGCATGAAAGGAAGTGACCAAAAAATGCGTTGCATATGGCCCTAAGGTTTAGGAAGAGAAAGTTCAGCCTTGCTTTTTTTTTTTTTTTTTTTTTAATGTATTAAACTTTTATTGTGGCAAAATACCACCTAACATAAAATTTGACATTTTAACAATTCTAAAGTGTACATTTCAGTGACATTTGGTACATGTACATGTTGTACAACCGTCAGTACTATCTCTACTCTCGAGTTCCAGAACATTTTCATTACCCCAAAAGGAAGCCCCATGTGTACCCATTAAGCAGTCATTCCTCATCCTCCTCCCACCCTCCCCAGCAACAGGCCCTGGCAACCACTAATCTGCTTTCTGTTTCCATGGATTTTCTTCTTCCAGATATTTCATGTAAGTGAAATCATATAACGTGGCCTTCTATATCTGGCTTTCTTTCAGTTAGCATCACGTTTTCAAGGTTCATCTGTTTTGTGGCATATGTCAGTCCTTCATTTTTTTTTTTCTTTTTAATTTTTAAGTAACTTCTATACCCAGCATGGGGTTCGAACTCACAACTCTGAGATCGAGAGCTGCATGCTGTACCAACTGAGCCAGCCAGGCCCCCTGGGCTTCATTTCTTTTCGTGGTTGAATAATACTCCATATTTTGTTTGTCTATTCATATGTTGTTGGGCATTTGGGTAGTTTCCACCTTTTGGCTATTGGCCATTGGGAATAGCACTGCTGTGAACATGGGTGTGCATGTTTTTGTTGGAACACCTGTTTTTACTTTGGGGGTACATACCTAGGAGTAGAATTGCAACTTGGCTTTTTTTTTCTTTAAGATTTATTCGTTTTATTTATTTTAGAGAGAGAGAGAGAGAGCACAAGCGGGAGGAGGAACAGAGAAGAGAAAGAATCTCAAGCAGGGTCTGCACTGAGCAAGAAGTCCGACACCAGGCTCAATCTCACAGCCCTGAGATCATGACCTGAGCCGAAATCAAGAGTCAGACACCCAACTGACTGAGCCACCCAGGTGCCCCACAACTTTGCTTATTTTTTAAAGATAGTTAAAACTATGGAACCCACTTAGCATTCTTTCGTCACGCGATTTGTAAGATTTGTTTTCTCTCTTCATCTGGGTCTCTGCTCAGATATTATCTCAGAGACAGTTTCCGAGACCGCGTCGTGTATTTATCTGTGTTATCCTTACTTTTCACTTGTTTCTCCCCTAGAGTAAAGGCCTGAAGGGCAGGGACTTAATACTTTGTCACCACTGTCTCCTAGCACCTTGCACAAGATCTGGCACTGTTGAGAAGTAGGTGCTGAGTAAATTCTGGATGGGCACTTCCACTTGGGAGACAAGCACTTGTACACTGTCGCAGGAACCGTATATTGGTAGTACTTATTCAGAGGGTAGTTCGGCAGTATCAGATTTAAAATGTTCATACCCTTTGACTCATTTCAGTTCTTGGAGTTTATTTAACCATACCCCTGCATACATGTAAGAAAATTCGTTGCTGGGGCACCTGGGTGGCTCATTTGGTTAAGCGTCTTTCTTTGGCTCAGGTCATGATCTCAGGGTCCTGGGGTTGAGGAGCCCCACTTCGGGCTCTCTGCTAAGTGGGGAGTCTGCTTCTCCTCCCCCCCCCCCCCCCCCGCAGGTTGTGTGCACACATGCACGCTCTATCAAATAAAATCTTTTTTAAAAAGAGAAAATTCAGTGCTGCATTACTTATAATATTTATTTTTTAAAAATAACCTACCTATCCCTTATTAAGAGGCTGATTGTATTAAATAGAATGTATCTGTATTAGTTTCCAGCTATCATCATAAAATACCCCAGTCTGGGCAGCTTAAACAACAGAAATTTACTTTCTCATAGTTCTGGAGGCTAGAAGGCCAGAGTCAAGGTTCCATCAGAGTTGCTCTCTGCTGAGGCCTTTATTCCCGGCTTTGCAGCCTGCTTGCTGTCCCGTCACATCTTTCCTTTGTGCTGGTGGAGAGAGGACTCTGGTGTCTGTTCCTTTCTTAAGGACATTAGTCCTATCAGATCAGAGTCCCACTCTTACGACCTCATTTAAGCTTAATTACCTCCCTAAAGGCTCTGTCTAAACACAGTCACATTGGGGGCTGGGTTTCAACATATGAATTTGGAGGGGACACAAATCAGTCCATAATATCAATTAAATGAAGTAGTATGCAGCAATTTAAAAGAATGAGTTAGGTCTAGTGTGCAAACGCTGAAAACTATCCAGGAAATGTTGAATTTAGAAAGTCATGTTTTATGATTTTATGTTTATAATTCCAATTGTGTTTTTAAAAAGACCATGTGTTGGGCGCCTGGGTGGCTCAGTGGGTTAAAAAGGCCATGTGTTTATACATATGCTTATATAAGCATAGAACGTTTCTGCAAAAATATATCAGAACTTTTGTTTGTTTACGTAAGTGCTACACCCAATGTGGGGCTTGAACTCGCCACCCCGAGATCAAGAGTCACACACTCTACTGACCAAGCCGGCCAGGCACCTCTATATTAGAACCGTCAACTGTGCAGCTACATCAGAGTCTCTTAGTTTTCACTTTATACTCTTCTACACTGTGGACTTTGGGTGCCCAAAAGTATGTATTCTTTTTATGGTAATAAAAAAATAAAAATAAAGCATTTGGAATATACAGGGCTCCTGAAAAAGACATTTGGTTATAATGATAGCCATTAACACACCTGTGCTAGCTAGCCATGCATGCATTTTCAAATATATTAAACTCAGATGTACGTTTCTTTTTAAAATGTATATTTACTCTATATTATAATTAGATAATAATTCCATAATAATTTCAAACATACACAGAGTAACAAGACAGTATATGTTATGCCATGGTCCCTGAGTGTCCCTGCAATTTCTTGTTGGTTATACCAAGAATTCAACTCCCTACCTGCTCTACACCTGGGCTTTTGCTCAGAGTTGTGTTTTCAGTAAGAAACCTTGAGGGATGAAGTATTGTCTCCCCTCGGACAAAAGGCAAACTTAACTTCCACTTGCTATAAAAATGGAATCTCCCAAGCTCAGTGTTCTCCTCTGATAATGAATACTATGTGAGCAGACAACTATGGTCAACGCTTTCATATCACACCCAGGAAACTTGGGGGTGTAGGGAACTGTTACAAACCAACATGAAGATCTGGCTACTACTTTTGATGTAGTTAAAGTCCTTTGTGTCTGACCCAGAAGTCTTGTGTCTTCTGTCAGCACCTATGAAATGGTAACAGGATAGCTACTAGTTCAGCTTGTAAATTGGGTGAAATTTCAGACCTGCACCTGTATAGTTCCTGACCGTGACCCAATGTCCACCACCCCAGATTTTTAAATCATACCGTTTAATTTGTAATTAAACCAGAGTGCATCTCTCTAAGATTTTATTCAACACAACCACAAAACCAATTTTATACCTTGGAAGGCCAGTAAATCCTGAATATCATTTGCATTATACTGAAAATATAGGTAAATTCCTTTGAGTAAATGGAGACTTATCCCTGTCCTTTGTGTCAGTATTTTAAGTGTGATACCACTGCAACACCGAAACACGAATGTATTTCATTTACATGTGGACTTCTTTCAAAGCCTTGGGCTCATTTTTTGGCCCCATCATCAGAAATAGGGAGAGTTGGGTAACGGAGTATCACATTTTTTGATATGCAGTGAATTGTACAAATGAGTTATTCTCAATCTTAGAAAATATTTACTGCTTAATGAAGGAGAATGTATAGCTCCTAGGCTGCTTTTTTTTTTAATGATTTTATTTTTTTTTTCCAAGTAGGCTCTATGCCCAGTGTGGAACTCAAACTCACACCCCCAAGATCAAGAGTAGCATGCTGTACCCACTGAGCCAGCTGGGCACCCCCCAGGCTGCTTTTTAGCCATTACTGTTAACCATGGTACTGCCAAAGGACCAACAGATGGGCTTCTTAATTATTTTTTTCAAGATTTTATTTATTCATGTGAGGCAGAGAGAGAGAGAGAGGCAGAGGCAGAGGGAGAAGCAGACTCCCCACTGAGGAGGGAGCCTGGTGTAAGGCTCGATCCCAGGACCCTGGGACCATGACCCAAGCTGCAGGCAGACTCTAAACCGAGTGAGCCACCCAGGTGCCCCAATATGGGCTTTTTAAAAAACATGAGTGGGGGCGCCTGGGTGGCTCAGTGGGTTAAAGCCTCTGCCTTCGGCTCGGGTCATGATCCCAGGGTCCTGGGATTGAGCCCCGCTTTGGGCTCTCTGCTCAGCGGGGAGCCTGCTTCCTCCTCTCTCTGCCTGCCTCTCTGCCTACTTGTGATCTCTCTCTCTCTCTGTCAAATAAATAAATAAATAAATCTTAAAAACAAAAGAAAAAAGAAAAAACATGAATGAAACTGACTTCTTGTCAACGTAGCTTTGTACACACTTTGATGACACTCCTTTGTTTCAAACACATGGTGAAATTAATAAGAGCTTAAAATTACATGTCCATAATCGAAACAAGATAAACATTTATGTTGACCAGAAACAGAGCTGTAATCTTGCTGGGCTATGGATCCAGAAATAGAGGCAGTCTGAAGTTTATAACCTATTAAGTAATATGATTGAGTGGGTGGGGACGAGTGCCGCATATAATGTGGATGACTGGGCCCTGATTAGTGCGTGCATTTATGAATTTAGGTGGGGCTCCCTAAAGTTAACAGAGACTAGAAAGATCCACAACCCATCCATGCCTGAAGACTTAGCTTATAGGAAGTTATATACTTAGGAAGTAGACATGACATTGAATGCAGACCTAAATCCAGTTACCCCCTCATTTGATGCATGGATTCCCCTGTCACCCAAAATTTATAGTGGGGACAGAGTCTCAAGTTACTAATGTAAGACTTATTTCTAGCTGGGTTTCCTGGATGATCGAGTAGAGATTATCACAAAACCATTAGGGAAGGAGATACATGTATGGGGGAAAAGATACCCATTCATGAGATGTTTATAAATCAAGCTTTCAAAACATACAAGCAAACCTAGCCAAAAGAAAGAGCCAACAAAAATCAGCATCAAGAGATGAATTCACTGCAATTAAAATGGAAAAAAAAAACCCTGATAATAACTTTAAAGTATGTATTTTAGAATATCCAGACATAAAGGAAGGATACCTATTTTAAAAGAGTAAGAAATTATGAAATAAAAGTCATCAGAAACGAAAAGGTGACAGATAAATATGTAAAGAACCAGCTAGAAATTAAAAATGCAATTGTTGAGGGGCGCCTGGGTGGCTCAGTGGGTTAAAGCCTCTGCCTTCGGCTCAGGTTATGGTCCCAGTGTCCTGGGATCGAGCCCCACGTCGGGCTCTCTGCTCAGCGGGGAACCTGCCTCCTCCTCTCTCTCTCTGCCTGCCTCTCTGCCTACTTGTGATCCCTAGCTGTCAAATAAATAAATAAAATCTTTATTGTTGAATAAACATAGATCTCATAAACTCTTTGTAGGTCTTAGTGGAGAGAGATTTAATGAATCGGAAAGTTATGTTGTATTCTGAATGAGCAGCTCATTCTAAGAGAAAAATTAAAAAGAACAATTAAAAAACAAGAAGACTAGATTGAAGGGCTTCCGTGTAAGTGCATAATATAAGTTGAGGGGCGCCTGGGTGGCTCAGTGGGTTAAAGCCTCTGCCTTCAACTCAGGTCATGATCCGGGGGTTCTGGCGTCGAGACCCGCATCGGGCTCTCTGCTCAGTGGGGACCCTGCTTCCCCCTCTTTCTCTGCCTGCCTCTCTGCCTACTTGTGACATCTCTCTCTGCCAAATAAATAAATAAAATCTTAAAAAAAAAGAAAAAGAATTCTATATCCGGCTAAACTTGTACTAGAATGAGGAAAAGGCAAATACAT